TCCTCCACAGTCATCTTCTTCCTTTTCCGTCCTCCCCCAGTCCTCATCCTCATCAGTCCTCCCCCGGACCCCCAGTCCTCCTCATCAGTCCTCCCCCAGTCCTCCTCATCAGTCCTCCCCCAGTCCTCCTCCTCCTTCCCCAGTCCTCCTCCTCATCCTCCTCCTCAGTCTCCTCCTTCTCCTCCTCAGTCCTCCTCCTCCTCAGTCCTCCTCCTCTTCCTACTCCTCAGTCATCCTCCTCCTCCTCAGTCCTCCCCCAGACCTCCTCCTCATCAGTCCTTCCCCAGTCCTCCTCCTCCTTCTCCTCCTCCTTCTCCTTCTTATCAGTCGGCCTCCTCCTCGTCCTTGCTCTCGTCCTCAGTCCTCAGTTCTCCTTGTCCTTAGTTCTCATCCTTTTACTTATCCTCCTCCTCCTCAGTCCTCCCCCAGACCTCCTCCTCATCAGTCCTTCCCCAGTCCTCCTCCTCCTCCTCCTTATCCTCCTCCTAAGTCTTCTTCCTCCTAAGTCTTCTTCCTCCTGAGTCCTCATCCTCCTCCTCCTTCTCCTCTTCCTTCTCCTCCTCATCAGTATTTCTCCTCAGTCCTCTTCATAGTCGTCCTCGTTCTCGTCCTTAGTCCTCCTCCTCCTCAGTCCTCCTCCTGAGTCCTCCTCCTCATTCTCCTCCACAGTCATCTTCTTCCTTTTCCGTCCTCCCCCAGTCCTCATCCTCATCAGTCCTCCCCCAGTCCTCCTCATCAGTCATCCCCCAGTCCTCCTCATCAGTCCTCCCCCAGTCCTCCTCCTCCTTCCCCAGTCCTCCTCCTCAGTCCTCCTCCTCAGTCCTCCTCCTGAGTCCTCCTCCTCATCCTCCTCCTCAGTCTCCTCCTTCTCCTCCTCAGTCCTCCTCCTCCTCCTCCTCTTCCTACTCCTCAGTCATCCTCCTCCTCCTCAGTCCTCCACCAGACCTCCTCCTCATCAGTCCTTCCCCAGTCCTCCTCCTCCTTCTCCTCCTCCTTCTCCTTCTTATCAGTCGGCCTCCTCCTCGTCCTTGCTCTCGTCCTCAGTCCTCAGTTCTCCTTGTCCTTAGTTCTCATCCTTTTACTTATCCTCTTCCTCCTCAGTCGTCCTCAGTCCTTCTCCTCCTCAGTCATCCCCCAGTTCTCCTCCCCCTCCTCAGTCCTCGTCCTCAGTCCTCCTCATAGTCGTCCTCGTCGTCCTCGTCTTCCTTCTCAGTCCTCCTCGTCCTCAGTCCTCCTCGTCTTTAGACCTCCTACTCATCAGTCCTTCCCCAGTCCTCCTCCTCCTTCTCCTTCTTATCAGTTGTCCTCCTCCTCGTCCTCGCTTTCGTCCTCAGTCATCAGTCCTCCTCGTCCTTAGTCATCATCCTTTTACTCCTCCTCCTCCTCAGTCCTCCTCAGTCCTTCTCCTCCACAGTCATCCCCCCAGTTCTCCTCCCACTCCTCAGTCCTCGTCATCAGTCCTCCTCATAGTCGTCCTCGTCTTCCTTCTCAGTCCTCCTCGTCCTCAGTCCTCCTCGTCTTTAGACCTCCTCCTCATCAGTCCTTCCCCAGTCCTCCTCCTCCTTCTCCTTCTTATCAGTCGTCCTCCTGCTCCTCCTCAGTCCTCCTCGTCCTTAGTCCTCATCCTTTTACTCCTCCTCCTCCTCAGTCCTCTTCAGTCCTTCTCCTCCTCAGTCATCCCCCAGTTCTCCTCCCCTCCTCAGTCCTCGTCCTCAATCCTCCTCATGGTCCTCACCTGAGTCCTCCTCCTCATCCTCCTCCACAGTCCTCTTCCTCCTCCTGAGTCCTCCCCCAGTCCTCATCCTCCTTCCCCAGTCCTCCTCAGTCTCCTCCTTCTCCTCCACAGTCATCCTCCCAGTTCTCCTCCCACTCCTCAGTCCTCGTCCTCAGTCCTCCTCATAGTCGTCCTCGTCTTCCTTCTCAGTCCTCCTCGTCTTTAGACCTCTTCCTCATCAGTCCTTCCCCAGTCCTCCTCCTCCTCCTCCTTCTCCTTCTTATCAGTCGTCCTCCTCCTCCTCCTCAGTCCTCCTCGTCCTTAGTCCTCATCCTTTTACTCCTCCTCCTCAGTCCTCTTCAGTCCTTCTCCTCCTCAGTCATCCCCCCAGTTCTCCTCCTCTCCTCAGTCCTCGTCCTCAGTCCTGAGTCCTCCTCATGGTCGTCCTTCTCCTCCTCCTCCTCCCCTTCCTCCTCAGTCCTCCTCCTTCTCCTCCTCCTCCTCCCCTTCCTCCTCAGTCTTCCTCAGTCCTCCTCCTCTTCCTTTTCCTCCTCCTCCTCAGTCCTCCTCCTCCTCTTCAGGGCATCATGTTTGCGAAAAGTGGAAGGCTAAAGGTAAACACTTTATCACGGCTCCAACGTTCCAGGACCTCATAACTGGCCTTGAAGGGATGGTTCATTATCTAGTCCAATGTGCAACTAAGTACAAGGACTGTGATATTGCTCCCTGGCATTTTGTTTCCGACTCTTGCGAACAATTGTTTGCTTTCCTTCGCACTGGCTTCCACAAAGGACGCCAGACGAACCTATCGAGTGCTTCGGTTGTGCACGGGGCAGCAAGGAAAAATCGGTGCCTTGAGCTTGATGCGAAAGGCAGCCATCTTGTTGCGCATGACGTTGCACACACTCGGGGGAAGACACTGATTCCCGATCCCAACCAAACACGGGTGTACAAGGGCAGAGACATCAGCCTCAAGAAACTTAGGAAAGCACTCAGGGAAGGCATCGACATGGGGAAGGATATGATTCGTGCTCACAAAAAGCTGTCCGGGTGCGAACTCGATATACCTACTGAACCTGACTGTTACACTCTAGTTGATGATGATGACAGGGAAAAGGCTGAGCTTGAGGCTCCCAATGATGATGATGATGAAATGGAGATGTACAACCAGTCAACTGGAGTTCTCACAACCGACGGCCGTTGGTACCATGTTGATACTGCTGCTGAGAAGTTCATGAACGACGGTCGGTCATCAATGGCAGGTCATACACGCCAAAGGAGAATCAAAGGCTACAGTATCGCCAGGGTGTCACTTTCTCAGCCATTTGAATCGCTTGGAAAAGACTGTAAACGTGTATCTGTTGGTGACAAGGGCTGATTGGGCGACATCTGTCCGACAGCAACATCTGTCCGAAAGCTGAATTAGGGATTTCGGACAGATGTCGTTGTCGGACAGGAGTCGTGTTTGGCGACATCTGTCCGAAATTTGGATCATATTGTAATTTCGGTTCACATTCGTATTTCACAAGCTCACATGTAATCTCGTGACGTTCTAAAGCTGATGTGATCGCTTAAGATCTGATCCATCGATACGTGATTGACTAGTTGAGAACAGGATCGTGCTAGCCGTACCCTAACAAGCTGTCGATCACATCACAGGACATGAGTACATATAGGACAGCAGTATGGAGATCACTTATCGCAATCCACAATGGCAACCAATCTTCAGTTTATCCCTGGACGCAAACAAGGCTCGGACAACCCTGTCCTAAATGGCTTCAGATACGTCTTCGACAAGCGAAGAGACGACACCTCCTACTGGAAATGTTCGGATTTCCGAAAGGGTTGCAGAGCCCGCATCCGTACCGTGGACAGACAAATGATCACTCCTACTCCTGACCACACTCACGCTGTCCACCATGCTGAAACGACCGTCCACGTCAGCAAACAGGACTTGAAAAGAAAGGCTTCTGGCGGAGATCAACCAACGAAATACCTCGTATCTGAAGCAGTCGGTGGATTGGGTTACGAATCTAGAGCAAAGCTTGGCTGCCAGCTATCATCCCTCAACAGAATGGTACAGAGAAGCAGAAAAGCAGCTAACAGACACCCTTCTAACCCGAGAGATCTTGGAAACGCTCTCCATTCCTCCAAACTACATCCTCTCTACCGACAACGAACCAATGATGCTCTGGGACTCTGGATGGGACGAACAGACTCGTCGATCTTTCCTTTGGGGGACTCCTAAGAACGCAGATCATATGGTGGACGCGGAGCATTGGGTAGTCGACGGTACCTTCAAATCCGCACCTAATCTCTTCCATCAGCTCTTCACAGTGAACTATTGTCCAATTTATCGACATCAAATGAAAATAAACTGTGGTAGTAAACTATGGCTCAGATCATATCTCAAATTGGACATGTTACGTATACAATTTAGCAAGTAACAGTTTAGATCATGTCTCTAATTGGAAATGTGTCGTATTGAAATCAGGTCACAATTTCGGACAGATGTCGTTTTTTTCTGGTACCCTGATTCGGACAGATGTCGCTGTCGGACAGATGTCGCTGTCGGACAGGAGTCGTGTTACCACAAGGGCTGGTTCGACAAGAAAAAATTCAAGCAAGCCGTCAAGTTCCGCCGGCAGGCTCTGTTCATGTCAACATCGCATATATTCAGCAAGGCTGACAGGTCGTCTGTCTGCTGTGTACCCACTAATTCCTTTTGTTCTACCCATCAGAACTAGGGACCCAACTTACTAGATTTTAAAAGTATGCGTATTTGGCAATAATATTCTGTGATGTAGCATTCAAAGACCTTTATAAATCACAATTAATACATCATAATATCTGAATTGTGATAATATCCCGGTTATTTTGACATTTACGCTTACGTGAGATTGACAAGCAGCTAAACTCCAATTATTAATTAGTAGGTAATCGTAGTATTGTATTTTCATTTGTTCACCAGTTTTGCTGCGTCTTATTTATCTTCTCTGATGTCATACAGTGTAATATACAAAGATACAACGGAGAATACCAATGGATTTATAGATCCATTTCTCTGGGATGTTTCGTTATTTCTAGAGTAAAAAAATGTTGGTAAAAAATACGAAAAAATACGAAAAAATACGAACGCACCCCTAAAATTTGAAATTCGTATTCGTATTTTTTGTAGTTGGACCCCCCCCTGTAAATTTGAACCTCAATAGTGTGGTTTTGGCTCGAATAATGGCTGGAGAACCCCCTTTAGCTCAGTTAGCTGACACACCTTGTACCCATTCAGTGCGGGGGTACAGAGAAAGGGACTGACACTGATATATGATATGACTGGGAGTAGCTTCGCTCAGTTCGATTACACTCTTAGTCGCAAACTACTTCAACTACTACAGGTCCATTTAGTTTCATAGTCCCTCCGTTCACTTCTTTAATTGATTAGCTTTTCGTATTCGTTAGAACCTTTTTTAGCGCGAAATGGTTCGTTTATTGCAGAGTCCGAATCTTTATTCTGTTGCTTTATTTAATTAATTTTAAACCTATTAGTTCGTATTAAGGAAATGTTGCTTTCATTAATACAAATTAGGGCCCAATTAGCAATTGTTAATCGTCTAAGTGGTATTGATGAATACCGAATTTATTCAAATTCTTGTGAACACGAATAGATAGATAATATAAATTGTATGAAAATACTTACAGCTAATTTGATAGATATATTGTATATCCCGAATCTCACTTCTTATCACTAGATACACTGTTCAGGATGGATACCCCGCGAGGCTCAAGAAAATCTACATTTTAAAGGCCCCCCTTTGGTTCAAGGGCCCGCTTAAAATCGTTTCACCGTTCCTTAAAAGAAAATTTCTTGAAAGGGTGAGTTTTTGTCAGTGTTATGATTAATCATCGTCACTGTTAAAAAATCTGTCACTACATTAAATCACGCCGTTACTCACTGCAACTCGTGGTAAAACGTCCAATAATTCACGATCTGTGGCGCCGCGTGATGACCTAACTCAACTTACCACGTGTCATCTGTACAGCACGTGTCATCTGTACATTAAGTAAGATTACATCATCGTAACTCTCCTTATTCACGCTTCTCCCTCTCAGTTACGCCTAATAGAAGACATTTCCCAACACTTGTCCGAGTCCTACCTACCGAGCGTGTACGGGGGAAACAGAAAATTCTCACACAGTGCCTGGGTGATGCAGTGTATCGAGTGTTATAAGAGGAGTATTGAGGACAACCCACCACCCCCTCCCCGACCACCCCCACTTACAGGTTAGTGCTCAGTACTTCCCACTACTCCCTCCCCTCCCACCTCACTTACAATTCAGTGCTTCACATCACTCCCTCGCCTCCTACCCCACTTACAGGTTAGTGCTCAGTACTTCCCACTACTCCCTCCCCTCCCACCTCACTTACAATTCATTATTTCTCACTCCCTCGCCTCCTACCCCACTTACAGGTTAGTGCTCAGTACTTCCCACTACTCCCTCCCCTCCCACCTGACTTACAATTCATTATTTCCCACCACCCCCTCGCCTCCTACCTCACTTACAATTCAGTATTTCACATCACCCCCTCCCCTCCCACTCACTTACAGGTTAGTGCTTCACATCAGCCCCTCGCCTCCCACCTCACTTACAATTCAGTATTTCCCACCACCCCCTCGCCTCCCACCTCACTTACAATTCAGTATTTCCCACCACCCCCTCCCCGCCGATCTCACTTACAAATCTGAACTTCACACCACCCCCTCCCCTCCCACCTCACTTACAATTCAGTATTTCCCACCACCCCCTCGCCTCCTACCTCACTTACAATTCAGTATTTCCCACCACCCCCTCGCCTCCTACCTCACTTACAATTCAGTATTTCCCACCACCCCCTCCCCGCCGATCTCACTTACAAATCTGAACTTCACACCACCCCTCCAGCTCCCCTCCCACCTCACTTACAAGTCAGTAATTCACACCATCCCTCCCTGCCTTTTTCACACTCAAAAAATTTCACATCACTGTTTTAAAATGACATGAGTGATGGAATAATAGTTTATTGTACTTGTACAGTGTGTTTCAAGATTCGTGTTTCAAGATTCGTGTCCAAAGACTCGTGTCCAAATTTGAAATTTCGATTATTGATTTTATAAAGAAGCACACTGGTTATAATCATTTTTAAGAAGCTTGTTGGATCCCACAATCTGTTTGTTGACAAACAGCAAAGACGGATTAAAACGTATATCATATTGTAATTGTATATTCCGTTAAATCATATGTCCACTGCACCAACCAACAGACTTTACATATGGGCGATTTCACGTAAAGTAAATTACACTTTGCACAAAAATTTGGCCTTATTCTGACTCTCAAGCATTACACAAACATAACAGAATCATGATAAATTGCATGAAACATCTCCTATGTACTCCACACACAGCTATATTAAGATTTTTACTCCAACTGCTATGGATTTTGAGTGAGGCACGTTTGAAAATGTAAAGTAAATTACAGGGCACAAATTGACATTCCTGACCAACGTGTATTGAAATCTCATTTCGTGCCCAGGTGTGAGAGTAAACATTTAAATATTTTTCATGCACACTGGCAAATGTCTTGCCTGTACTGGAAAGGGTTTGTTTTGGTAAATGGTTAATAGCTGTGTTCTGTAGAAGCCTTTGTTCCTTGTAAAGTAAGTTACTCTTTTGTGTCAAGTAGTTTACACTGTTACACAATCCTTTGATTTTAACTGTTTAAAGCTGCCCCTTTGTCTATAATTCGTTTGCTAAGTGTATGAACTATGTAATATATGATTAATAATGATATATCAGTTTATCATTAGCCAATTAAGGGGGCCGGGGGGGCCTTCATCAAAATTTTCTCGAAATTGACTTTATAGTTGTTTCTAATAGAGGGGAGTGATATCTATCAGATGCTTTTGGTCCCATGGAAAAATATTGTTCCTAGACGAAATTATTATCGGTCAAATGTCAGCGCTTATGTGTTATTGTATTGTGCGAGCGATTTTCAATTTTTGAAAATCTTGGACCTCAAAAAATCGTCAAAAAACGAGGTCCAAGATTTTCAAAATCGAATAAAATATGTTTAAAGGCTTATCTCAAAATTCTGTCAGGCTCATCTCTTTTAAATTATCTCTAGAACATATCCTGAAAGTTTCAGGGTGATTGCTCTAAACATGTAGGAGAAAATAGATTTTTAGACTCGATTTTCAGGACACGTGATTGAAAATCGCTCGCGCTATACAATTACACATAAGTGCTGACCTTTGACCGACAATAATTTCGGCTAGGAATAATATTTTTCCATGGGACCAAAAGCATCTGATAGATATCACTCCCTTCTATCAGAAACAACTAAAAAGTCAATTTCGAGGGAATTTTGATGAAGACCCCCCGGCCCCCTTAATTGGTTGATTGATCCACTGATTGGGTCCACAGTTAGCCCAGTTATACAGAGTAGGTAGGTGGGCGTAAATGTACGAATGTTTCCCAGCTCAAAAATTTGTGTTCAAGCAGGCCACTGGATTTTCTGTAAAGAAAAGTATTATTTTCGAAAAGTCAATTTTTAACCATTTTTAACCATTTTTATAGATTTCTTTAATGAAATTCTGACCAGAACCAATCTATTATCACTTTTAAATAACTTTTATTCTGTTTGACAATCGTTACTTGTTGTGTTGTACTACTATTACTGAATAAAAAGCATATGTGTAAATTACTTGACACGTAAATAACTTGACATGTAACTTACTTGACGCTGGTATTGACATGATCTGATATCTATGGATCTAAATAAACAAGTACATTATGTCTTGACATCAGAGTTAGCTTGTTTTAGCAAGATTTCAGCAAGAAATAACATGAAATGTGGCCAGCAGAAAACTTTTTTGTTTTTTATGTATAGTAATTTACACTAAAAACAGGAGAAAGTAGAATAGCATTGCTCCGAATCTGCTTAAATTTTGAGTCCCAAATTTTGCATACAGCTTCAGTGAAGTGGTATGCACCTTTACAGATCAAGAATTAATGAATATTACAACAATCTCTTTTTAGTAAACAGCTTTTATTATAGAGTAGTTTTAGCCTGTAAAACATGACAATTTATGGGTATTTTGAAAACGCGATAACACAGAAACGAAGTGAGATATTTATAAGCGGTTTTTTGTGTCTGACAGTTTATAATCTTCTCTTTCAGACTCCAATCAAAGCTAGTGCCATAACTGAAATTTATTTTTTTCCCTCCTTGTTCATGTTTCATGAAATTGCCCATATATGTTACAATTGTACTGACTCTTGGAACTACATTTGTATAACAGGACGAATATTGTATACCTTCAACGCGAGTTACAAATAGCTCTCGAGCCTTTTGGGATGATTTAATGTCAGGAATTTAGCTGTAATAGTGTTTCTCTCTCTCTTGACCAACGTTAGCAAGTTGGCTCGCATAGTTCGTACAGACCGTATGGGTAGACTGTTGGTGAGCGAAATTCGTAAATATTTTTGTCAATTCCACATCACTAGGCTTAGTCCCGTCTCGTTTATCGAGATTACTTTCGGTTAAAAGTCGAGGGGCTGATGTGAGGGTCAAACTTTTGTTTAGATTTCGTTAACAATGATCACAAAAAATGTTTTGATGTCCATCTTGGATGTATCCACACTTTTAATCTTACGTTGAGTACGTTCAAATACATACTAACTCAAAAACGAAAATTCCTGGCAAACATCCAGATCAAAGCCGTGACGTTTTTTAGGTTGTGCTTTAAATTTACTATTTTAACACGGTTGGTAGCGCTGTAGGGTTTTGCTCGATGACATTTATGATTTATAGTATAATTACTTTTTATCATACTCGTTTGAACTCTTGTTTATCCTTTGGAGAACCCTTGTTTACCCCTTTAGAGACGTTACCTAAACCTGGAAACGGTCTGTCCCAAAGTTAACAACATGTTTTATTGTGTCTGTAGGAGGTTGTGTCTGTATGTGTATATTTATACACCGTCAATTAACCGCCTCATTAACAGACCACACCTCCTTCACACACCACTTGACAAAATCCCTGGCTTCCTATTGGCTGGCGCTCGTTGCTCTCATTCGAAATGCTGCCCTGCTATTGGTCAGTGTTCGTTGCTGTCGCTCCTGATTGAACTGGGGCGCGTGCCTTCTTCAACCTGCAGTAATCAACTCTGTAATTTCTAACATACTTTAGAAATTATACAAAACAAACACGGCTTTTAACTCGGTTGCATGCGCTCCTATTTCAAGTTTTACCGACCCCCCTCTGCACTTTGATCTTTTTCCGTGCAGCATATTTAGAAGTCGAGTATATATATCATATATATGTAAGCGCTATTGCTGATGAATTGCCGCATTTTTCGGTCGGAACATAGTTTAAACGCCAGTATCGGATGTCTCTATATATTGGCGTACAACACATACATGCTACATCAGAAATACAGATCGCTATGTTCAGTTGGTGCTCTTCTCTCCGTTGAAACCAGTAAAAATACTCACTCTCCGCAGGACTACATAGTTCACTAGACTGCCTTGCAACAACGCACCGGGGGGTCAGTGCAGATTCTTAACATATCATCATTCCTGCACCCCGAAATAGTTGTCACCCTCTCATAATATTTTTGGAATCCTCCTTGGTAACTTGGCTCCCTTTAATTAGGTCGGCTCTGAGCTGGATATACGCAAATAAGGGTGTTGACGTTTCATTGTATCCCTCACACACACACAAACACATACACACTCACTCTCGGAGTGTCTGACTTGTACTAACTTATAAAACTTCGTTGTAGTTGTAGTTGTAGTTGTAGTTGTAGTTGTAGTTGTAGTTGTAGTTGTAGTTGTAGTTGTAGTTGTAGTTGTAGTTGCTGTTGTAGTTGTAGTTGTAGTTGTAGTTGTAGTTGTAGTTGTAGTTGTAGTCGAATTTGTAGTCGTAGTTGTAGTCGTAGTAGTGTTGTAGTTGTAGTTGAAGTTGTAGTTGTAGTTGTAGTTGTAGTTGTAGTTGTAGTTGTAGTTGTAGTTGTAGTTGTAGTTGTAGTTGTAGTTGTAGTTGTAGTCGAATTTGTAGTCGTAGTTGTAGTCGTAGTTGTGTTGTAGTTGTAGTTGAAGTTGTAGTTGTAGTTGTAGTTGTAGTTGTAGTTGTAGTTGTAGTTGTAGTTGTAGTTGTAGTTGTAGTTGTAGTTGTAGTTGTAGTTGTAGTTGTAGTCGAATTTGTAGTCGTAGTTGTAGTCGTAGTAGTGTTGTAGTTGTAGTTGAAGTTGTAGTTGTAGTTGTAGTTGTAGTTGTAGTTGTAGTTGTTGTTGCAGTTGTGTTGTAGTTGTAGTTGAAGTTGTAGTTGTAGTTAAGTTGTAGTTATAGTTGTAGTTGTAGTTGTAGTTGTAGTTGTTGTAGATGTAGTTGTAGTTGTAGTTGTAGTTGTAGTTGTAGTTGTAGTTGTAGTTGTTCATGTTATTGCTATTTGCTGCTACTCTCGGATATTTCATGAATATCTAATGATTTTGCGTATTTTTTAGCGAGGATCAGGGAAGATAGTTTGAAGATTGTTGTTTTAGCGTGCCTCTTCCTCTTTATCAGAAGGTAAAGTATTTTATAAACCAGGTTATATCTTCTTCTTGAATCTTGGTATATTATATATAAATTGCCTCCCTCCCTCTCTCTCTCTCTCTCTCTCTCTCTCTGCTCTTGTTACACTTACATACCTAAGTTGATAGTTAAACACCGCTGATATGGGTTCAGTTCTCTGTTACATGTACTATAGTGTAGATGTGAGCTATAGTTTTGTGTGTGTACGTGGGTTTGTGTGTTTGGGAGAGTGTGTCTGTGTCTACAAAGTGTCTGTATCCTCTGTATCCTCTGCTCCCAGACGACCTACTTCATTGTACGACGTACGTGGTTTCCTCCTCCGTTGCTTGTGTGAGTTTTATTTTAAACTGATTGTACCACGTGCTTGATGAGTACTGTCTCTCCTGTAGTACTCACCTGTAAACTGTTAAGTGTAAAGCTTGTTAGTAGTAGTTGAAAATAGGAAACAGAATGTTAAGTACTGCAGCAGTGTAACACACTCGTCGAGCACTACATACCAATATTATAGATCTTGTCTTTTATTATCCTTTCTTTTGTGTTGATCTTGTATCTGAATTTATTGTGCTTTTCTTAGTGTCTAGATCTACGGTTTAGAGAGGTGGGAGAAGCGACGATTTTTTGGGTTCGATTATAATTAACAGTTAAAATGTAGTGCAAAATTAGTCACAAATCATATATATATATAATGAGGATACAACATTTCTAATTTTCACTTGGCTCTAATTCTAATTGAACTTTGTCCATTGTTGTAAAGGTAAATTCTCTGTTTAGTACAGTGGTCCTCAAATCCTGGTCCTTAATGTTATGGGCCACTCTCCAAATCTTACTCCTTATCTCTCTGTTGGCAAACCAACCAACTTTACCCATTCCACTACATCATCTTAACTAACTAAAAGGTGTACACAAAATCTACTTCAATTAAGAAAATAGCCGGAAATTTCAAAAATAACGCCGCTCACTCACAATGTGGTGGCGGTAAATATAAGCATTAAATGTACTTGTAATTGTACAACGGCTGTGTACACATGTTATATACGTGTGAGTATGTCTTATGTAGCTGGTCATGTGGCTCAATGCTTGGTAGGTATGTCCGGGATCTGACAAGATGCCACGGTCATACCACCTGCTTGTGGTACTTGCCTAACTTTTGCATTCTTGACATTTATTTCTTTTTTGTTGTTCGATTCTCTTGATTGTTGAGCTATTTGTCTGCGGCTAAGTTGTTTATGACAATGGAGTTAAAGGCTATAAGTGCATAATATGATAATATCTCGTTGCTAAATGCTTTTTTCTCATATTGTGTTGCTTTGTATTTCTTCAAAAACGTTTATCAACGGTTCATTCCACTCGATGAAAATGCTAAATATCTTTGAAAAGATCAAAAGCTGTCAATGCATGATAGGCTAAAATTGAATGTTTCCCAGAAATTTCTAATACGAATCTAGATCAGCTAAATTTCCAACATGCACAGTATAAGTAATCACGTCTACACACATATTTGAAGTACATTGCACATTATTCTAGCTGACAGTGTAAGAGTGTGAAGTTATCCAGAAGACACATTGTCTGCATTGTCTGCCTGACATCCGCCTCTCTCCACTCTCAGATCTCACTCCTTTCTCCTTGTGTTTCCACTTCCCTTCCACTGTCTGAGGGTTGTTTTACTTTTCTGAAGGGGTGTACCTGTAAAGCTGTGGTTTTCTTTTCTTGGTATTACGGAGGAGCTGTACGTGGTATGCGATGGAATTCTTGCCCTTTCCTACGTAAGGACCCCTCCCTGAACTTTAATTTGAAGTACTGTGCTCCTTCATTAAAATATTTGTTTGTAGTACTTTTGTTTTTTTGTCTGACAAGTAGTTAACCCAGATTGGTTAGTGAATATGAGTATTTAGTAAAGTGGGTGGGTGACGTTACTTTAATGTGGGCTGGGAATGCCCTCACATATCTGAAGTGTTTTGTTTGCAAGCAGCCAGGCATTCCACATACCTTTGTACTAGTAGGTGGTAGTCTGTGCCACCACATTTTTGTCATATATAGCTCAACGACCGGTCACGAACCGTGGAGTAACCATTCGTTCCTGGCTTCTTAGAATTGGTTTCAATTATCAGAAAACCGTACGCTACCAATCAAAATCCGATAGGGAACTGTTCTTAAAATAAACTTAGTCTCAAAAACCGATTTAGAACCTTACAATAACCGCTCAAGAACCATTTAGCAACTATTTTAGACAATGTATTATCTGAGACTAAGGACCATCCAGTAACTGTTAATTCGCCGTTGGTAACCGTTAAGAAGCCATTCAATCACCGTTAAGTAACCGTTCAATTACCGTTAAGTAACAGTTCAGTAACCGTTCTAACCCACCACCTTTTCAGAGACGTCGACCGCGTGCGGTGATGAGGCGTTGCCACTAAGTAGAACAAGCTCGTTGCCAGCTGTAGTTCTCAACAGCGAGATCCAACCCTTCAAAAGGAACAGAAAACACTCCCCGCCTCCCCACGCTCGGGACCGAGTCATGTCTACTCACGAGATAGTTGAGGGTAAGTGGAGTGCAGTGGTTTCTGCACGTGCTTTTGTACGTGCACGTGCAGTGGTTTTTGCAAGTGCTCACAAGTGTTGACGCTTATAATCTTGATTTTAAACCCTTTAAAATCAAATTTTGGCTTATTGGAAAACCCTACAAATTCTTGTGGCGCGCTTGTTTATATTACAATTCAATATATTGCACTTTGTTACACTTATTATTACACTTTATTATTTATATATTTTCGCTGAAAGGTTTATCTCTAAACTCTACGGCTTGGCACTAAAATACTCTCTTACTGTCATCTTAAGTCTACAAATAGACTCTATTTTATATCCTCTGTCGTCATCAAACAGTGGTCATATATCACGATTGTATCAGATCCGGTTGAAGGCCTGTCCAGGGATGTGATGATACTGGCCTGGGAAAGTTAAATAATGAGCGTTCTAAATTTAGCAGCTGTCATAACCTGCCTAACAGTATCGTCACGCTGTATTTACTATTTCTAACTCTGATCTGGTGATAAGTCACTTACTGTGTGAACTTAACTCATCACTTCTGATTCCATCACTTTTGTAAGACGTTATGTATTACTAATAGTGAAAAAGGAGCTACGTCATCATTAACAACAGCTTAGTAGTAGTTGTAGTAGCCCTTGAAAATATAACTACGGAGGAAGATGGATTCACGTACTCTAGTTTGACAACTTAAGTTCGCCAGAAATCGCCCATGTCAAACTTCGGTACGTGTCGAACTAGAGTCCAATACCTTGGTTCGACAGTCTAACTTCTCTTGTCGAATTTCAGTATGTGGCGAACTTGAGTCCATGTAGCGTACCTTAGTTGAAGTTCGACAGAGTCGAATTTTAGGGTTTGTCAAACTAGAGTCCAGGTAGCGTACCCTAATTCGACAGTTTGTCGAACTAAGGTACGTGTCACTGTCGAACATGTTCCAGAAAGATGCAGTAATTCTCAGTAATCCATCACAAAGCCCGCTATAATTTGTGAACTAACTAGCGGCTGGGCGTGCCTTGACCACGTGCTACAGCCTGCCATTCTTCCCTACGCATTATCCCTTTACTGATCCAGCATTGGATCAGTCCCGTGACTTGATCTGCTGCTTCTCATTGGTACATTCTTCTTTTCTTCTTCGTGTCTTAGCCTGTCCAGCCGTGCATTTGTCAATGTCACTTTTTCAATCCTTTTGCGACTGCATTTGTACGCCTAAGTTGCCTGATCCCAAAAACGAAATGCTCACTTACCTTAGAAATTGTGAGTTTATATGGAGATCATATCGTCTACTTCATATCACTGATGGATGACGAGAGTATCACTCCGGAACAATCCAGAGAACACTTGTACTTATCTCAATTTGTCACATTTCTCACAAGCCAATATATCAACTCTGACATACCCTCTCTCCCAGGCATCATAGAACCCGCAATTCCTCACAAAATAATAAAGAATGAAGTCCCGACACCTCGTATGCCCCTGGAGGTCCACCTTCTGCCGCCCGACCAGGTAATTTACTTTACACACACTACCCTCGGCCTCACCGTGTACAGGATTTATTATGCATGAAATGTGAGGTATTTAAATAATGGGACATTCTTTCGACCGACATGGTTGGGTGATCCGCTTATTAAATTATATGATTGTTATATGCAACATGAGCAGGAACTTTAACCCGTCCCTACTCGTCTCACGACTTTTATTACGATCAAAACACCACTATCTTTGGTTCAACCACCATCGAGAGGCAGCACATATAATTATTTTACGTCGAGCAAGAAAATTACAATTACTCATGATGTAAATTCGAAACCAGGGCGGTTATTTAACCTTGCAGTAACCTGATCTATAAACTGATAAAGTTCAGTGCCATTTGTTAGGAGCAGCGTTCAGTTTGTTGTTTTGTGAACTATATTTAAAAATGTGGTTTTTAATTGTGGTACTGGTTCTTGTGGGCAACTGCGCACTGGGCCTGGGGACACAGGCAAGTATATCCCTACCACTGTAACGACATAAAGGTTAACTTAACATAATAAAACAATTAACTTATAATTACTAATCTCGTTAATTACAATTGCAGAGTACACAAGCCGGGAACTTAGGGGAAATGTCATTACCAGACCTCCAGGAACACTTGACTAGGAGCACCCAGCAGGAACTGCAGGCGGAGTACATGAGGCTCAGGCTCGAGCAGCACATGGACCGCTTTACCGTCGCAAAGTTAGTATTTGCACCATCGTGATATTAGTATTTCACTGTCGCAAAGTTAGTATTTGAAACATCGTGATATTAGTATTTCACCGTCGCAAAGTTAGTATTTGCACCATCGTAATATCAGTATTTCACTGTCGCAAAGTTAGTATTTGAAACATCGTAATATTAGTATTTTACTGTCGCAAAGTTAGTATTTGCACCATCGTAATATCAGTATTTCACTGTCGCAAAGTTAGTATTGGCACCATCGTAACATAATATTAGTATTTTACCGTCGCAAAGTTAGTATTTGGAGCTTCCTAATATTAATATTTCAGTTAGTATTAAACATTTCGATGGTGAAAATTGTCACCATCGAAATGTTTCGCTATTGCAAATTTTTTATTTTCACCGTCGTAAAGTTAATTTTTGTTATGGCCTGGAAAATTTCTTCGCCGTAGCTAAATTGCCACAATGTAAGTATCTCCAAAGTTAAAGTTTGTTGGCTCCCCTGATGTCCAAAAATGTCGGTTACAAAATCAGTATAATCTACATTTTTTTGTTATCGTTTTGTACACAGGCCCTCATTCTGGATACTAACCTAGAGATCATATCTTACAGTTTAAATCCCTCCTGCAATAACCGTTATCACATGATCCTCCTTATTTTGTACCTGACTCTGGCTACAATGGCATTATAATATGTACAATGATGATATGATATACACTCTCACTATCTCACAACACAATATAGCACTTCGTGACACAACCAGGAACACATAATACACTTTCTCACTATTACCTGATATATACCGTCTAGAAGCGGTTCTGTTATCTCACTAGACCGGGGTAGTGATCTGGTTGTGGTCTAGTAGACTAATGATTCTCTCTCTGTTTATCGTTCTTTTGTTTGAGTAAAAACACCATGCAAACATTTTTAAGACGTGTTTAATTTGATTAGCACTTTCGGGTATCATCCCAAAGACAAAATGGGCACTTTTTGGCTGTTTTACATTTTGAAATGGTATAAGTCACGTTTTGTTTTTTTGTTCACCATGATTTTTTGTCGTTGAATTTTCATTGTTTTGTTTTTTCAGGTTACCAGCAAACATTAGGAAAAACAGATATTCAGATATTTTAGCGTACGATCACACTAGAGTTAAACTACAACAGCTACCCAACGACCAGGTTAATATTTATTATTCAAAGTAAAGCTACATTTTCGTAATGGCGAATATAGCGTGAAAATTTGATGTTTTTTGTTTATTCGAAGAAAAAAATCCAAAAGAAAATGGTACAGGCAACGATCTCATCACTCATGGAATTCATGAACTTGCCTGTTTTTTTACTTTTAAGAGTGGCGAAACTTGATATTTGATGATTAGTTCACGATTCATTGCCTTAAAATCCCCTCAAATATTGATTTTAACAAGATTTACGTCTCAGTATTCGGATTACATTAATGCAAACTACGTTGACGGTTACAACCAGGAAAGAGCTTTTATCTTCACCCAAGGACCTTTGCCACACACAATCGGGGATTTCTGGCGAATGGTAAGTTCCGGAGTCTCTCGCGGGATTTTCTTAATTGAAAAGATATCCTGATTTGGTTTCAGGTTTATTGAAACAATATGTATTAACAGTTTGGGGTACACGAACTCTAGTTAGACACGCACCTTAGTTCGACATGTACTATATAATAGTTCGACAAACCCTAAAGTTAAAAGTTTAACTCTGTCGAACTAGAGTACGCTACCTGGACTCTATTTGGACACGCACCGAATTTCTACAGGGGTGATTTCTGGCGAACTTAAACTATCGAACTAGAGTCACAGTATGGTTTCTGTGGATTGTCTACTATATTCGAGACTTCCACTACAAGTGTCTAATAAAACAACTCTCCCTACAGGTTTGGGAGCAAGGGGTCTACTGTATTGTAATGACCACCAAGTGTCTGGAGAGAGGCAGGACGAAATGTGGGAAGTATTGGCCCGAAAAGAACACGCAAATTCAGCACGGTTTCTTTGTCGTGTCCTGTACCGAGGAGCTTCAGACCCCAGATTATGTTAAACGTACTTTTACCATCAGCTTCCCTCAGGTACTGTCGTGAGATAGGCTTTTTCATATGTACCATTGCATTTACGTACTTTATATTTTGTACTTCCCTTGACACCAAAAATACAGTTCTTATCGCACAGGCTTATTACTTTAAAATTAACTGCACTGCTTACTATAACTGCTATAAAATTGATATCAGTGTTTTTAGTATGGTGTTTTCTAACCCCACCTCCATGCAAGGTGGATACAGAAGAGTCCAGAGAAATTGTTCAGTTCCAGTATCTGACCTGGCCTGACTTTGGGACCCCGCCCTCAGCGGAGGGAGTGCTGGATCTCTTACACGAAGTTAGACAGTATCAGGCAGAACGGCTCGCTAAAGCAGGTAACCAAAATTATTTTATTAAATCATAATTTATTTTTCAATCAAACAATTAAATGTCAAAATAGAAATTTTAAAAAACTGTCTCCTGAAACTATGATTCTCACACAGGCCACAGCTATACTTTACCATTTCCTTAGTTCCTTATCATTTCAGGGCCATCATTCGAAGGACCAAGTCACGGGCCCCCCATCATAGTACACTGCAGTGCGGGTGTAGGACGGTCAGGTACATTTGCTGCAATTGACATCTGCATGTCCAGTATCTACTATAAGAAGAGTGTCAATGTTATGCAAACTGTCCGTCATATGAGATCACAACGAGCCCACAGGTAATTACCACCTTATTATCTAAATTATCAGCTAATTATCTCTTCAATCACAGATTACCAGACCAGTAGTATAACTGCTATGAAAATTACGTTTTTTATCAACCCCCAAAGTTCATAAATTGCTTATAAACTTTCACATCATAAAATTCAAAATCTTTGCACCTAAATCTTGAAATCTTTAATCTAACGGACCATTTGTTGTTCAGTATCCAGACTCCAGACCAGTATATCTTTATCTACACGGCAATAGTGGAACAGTGGGAAGCCATGGCTAACGAGGACACGTCCTCTATATCAAGCTCTGACCTCTCCGACAACATAGTAAACGGGAACAGTTACTCAGAACTTTAGTAGGGCTGTCTTTAGGAAATATTGATGGTAACCATCATTATCATCTTCATACTCACCATTCGTTAGAAACGTTAACGTTGTCAATTAGATGTGCGCTGTTTTGCACAGACACAGTTTCAACAGAGATAGTGCGAAAGAGAGAGAGAGAGAGGCGCGTGATAGTCACGTGACAAACTCTGCGAAAGTAACTATGGTAACTTGCTCTAGAACTACATGTTACACTGACTGGTTCCCATACACAATGTGGACGTTAAATATGTGGACGTCGTTGTCAGGACGGTATCACGAGAGCAACGCTGTAACGCCTCCCTACACCTATGCTACATATAATAGCTCCTCAACTGCAGATGTATTTCCGTGAGGGACACGGATAGAGAGAGAAACCTGGGTTTGTGCTGAATACATGTTTATGATAATATCAGCTATTTTAACTGTTATAAAAGATGCATCCTTGTGAGTGTGGCGCGTGTAGGTTTAGCCGTGTTCATCAAGTTTTTAAATTTCAAGATTTGAAACAGCAGTATTTTAAATGTGTGCTAACGCTTAAAAACGGTTTTGTAATTAATTCTTAAGTCATTTATTAATTCTTAAGTCATCTGTGCGTTTGTGTTATGTTTTTTGTTCGTATGTACGTTTCACGGTTATCAGTATCACCATTCGTCACGGAGAGATATAACAACTCACACACATTCAATATTCATATAATCCACTCGACAACTTAAATTTGATTTGAATAAGATGAATAACTGTGACATGCTTGTTATTGATTTCTGAATATGAATTTGAAATTTGATACACTCTATAACGGGAACTTAATAAACTTATAAACTAAAATAGTTGCTGTAAAACGAAATCACATATTTATATTGAGTGTTGCTTTTTGTAAGTATTTTCTTATATATAACACTAGTTTTTATTGATCAAGATATTCAAAATTTTCATTGCATCAAAGTTTTATCCGGATATACTGCTTCCAGTGCCTTGATGGCGACTTGTTGCTTGTGTCACTCTCACCGACCTCACTGATTGGTCAGTGGTCAAAATTTCAGTCAAAATTGCGAAATTTCGGTCAAGGGTACGGCAGAAAAGCTCCTCTTCAAAAATCTTCTAAAGAATTAAAAGTAGCAGTATTCTTCTAAACTTACGACTTTAACATTTAAGGAACTAAAAGTAGCTGTATTTCGCCGTTAAACTACAGCTTATACATTATATTATTAGTATTAATGTTATACTGTTTACATCATGATTGAGTCGTAATTCAAAAGCTAATTTGACAAGAACAAAGAAGTGCGGCTGGTCGCGTCACTTGACGTCATTTTGAATATGTCCTACTTGTAGGACATATTTTGGAGGACTTCGACGCGCCGCGCAAACTAGCATTCTTGCTTCGCAGAGCAACGATCTCGATGGGTTGACACCGTCAATCAAGACATATTCAAAATGTTCATTGCATCAACGTTTTCTCCGGATATATAACTGCTTCCATTAAGTTGATTGGACCTGTTGTAGCGCGATGCACTACTGGGCTTGTATCACGTGGTGACCCCCACGGTCGCTTCACTTCGTGCGCGGCGGGTCATACAACGTATGACAATACTGGGCCGCGCCGCGCATCCAATAATCAATTATGCTTCTCGCAACCACTGTGCACTGGGCCCCGCCGCGGCTGTGAGGGATTGACATCGTGAATCATGAACTGCTCCCACTACATTGATGGTGACTTGTGTCATTCTCACCGACCAGCGAAATTTCGGTCATGGGGATGGCTTGCTACACGTTGTATACCTTTGTCATACGTTGTATGACCCGCCGCGCACGAAGTGCGCGGCTCCCCCTGTATCGTCGAAGCGACCGTGGGGGTCACCACGTGACCACGTGATACAACTACTCCTGGGGAGCCAACTTTAAATTTACGAGACGGAAATTTTGTTGAAAACCGGAAGGTTCTATTTATTTTACTTTTGGAGATATACACCAGTCGGTAGGGTTTGCTGGGTAGAACTTTGAGTACCTCGATCGTATCTTGTACCTTACTGGGCCGCGCTCAGCCTGTCATTCCGCCAAATCTTTATTCGGTTTATGAACATAATAGCCTGGGGTCCTCAGGTAACTTGTACCATCCTCAGTGACCATGTAAGTGGTAAGATGGTCATTGGTCATTCAAGAAAAATTCAGTAAAAACAGCGAAATTTGGTCGCAGAAAGCTTTGTAGGTTTACAACCTACCAGGACGCGCGCCGAGTTGGACTCGTCGACGGTCCAATATATGGAACAGATATTTTACGAGTATCACCCGTTAAAGAAAGCTAAAATTCGAATACGTCCTACCAGTACCACTACCGGTAGGACATATTCAAAATGTTCATTGTATCAACTTTTTCAGCTCCGGATATATACTGCTTCCACTACCTTTGACCTTGATGACGACTTGTGTCACTCTCACCGACCTCACTGATTGCATGAATGCATGGTCAGTGGTCAAAATTTCAGTAAAAAATAAAAACCGCGAAATTTCGGTCAAGGGGACGCGTTGACCATTGTTAATAGGTAGTGCGCCATCGCACATCGACAGTGAGCCGCGCGTACCGACTGTAGGATGGTTTTTTAGCGCTAATTTTGGCCAGCACAATTGTCTTCAAACAAATAGATTGTAGATATTGAGTATCCTTCCCGACCTCCAATTGCAACAAAAATTGGTAAGCTTACTCATAGACTTACAAGGAAAGTGTCCGAAAAATTTAAAGCATATCCAACCATTAAACATTATGTTATTGACGAATGTTACTCGTCTAAATTTCTTCGAAATAGCGCGCGCCGCTTTCTTCTCGAAGCAAGTGCTACGAAGCAAGTGCTACGAAGTAGCGCGCGCCGGGCCAGACCATTAACAATGGTCAATTATGTTCCAGCTAAAAGCAGTGTATTTTGCTCCATTTTGATCACTATAATATCAACTCCGATATCCACCAAATTTTCGGACAGTTGTGAAACACAGTGGCTGCAAAAGCGCAAATTGCGAACTAAGTATTTTGCGCGTTTTCGCGCGTTTTGACAGGATATATATTATAAGCACTCTTTAAATGCTTTTCATAAATTCCAGAACAATCCTTTTAGTATGATTTTTAATACAACATACAATTTATGGTCTAAATATCATTATCTAGCAATTTTGAAATTTCTAGCTTAACTGTAAATAGAGTTAAGTGCATTTTAAAACAAGTAAAAGTCTTCCATTTTGTTTTGATCATAACAATATTTTAACTAAGTAAAAGTAATTGAAAGCCCTATTGGTGATTGAAGGTCGTCGCCAATTTTCAGAATGATCTCATTCAAGGAACCGAAGATATATCCGAATAATACGACAAAAATCAACGAATTTGGCCAAATTGCGCGACTTTCATTACCTGAGGACCCCAGGCTATTATGTTCATTAACATAATAACCGAATATAGATTTGGCGGAATGACAGGCTGAGCGCGGCCCAGTAAGACTTTCACAGCTACTTTTGCTTTAACGGGTGATACTCGTAAAATATCTGTTCCATATATTGGACCGTCGACGAGTCCAACTCGGCGCGCGTCCTAGTAGGTTGTAAACCTTCAACTTTTGCTCCAAAAGCCGCGCACCATCAAATATGGCACCTAGGCGAAACTCACTGATCTTTCCAAAAAGGTATGATTGATGATAAATTTGGTATTGTGAAAATTCTCATACATCATAGTCTCTAGAAAACAGTGGTACAAAAATTTTAAAAATCCGAGCAAGTTTATTTTTATCGTGCACCCCTATAATGTTAATTGTTAATGGTCTGTCCCGGCACGCGCTACTTTTAACTTTGTTGACCATTGTTAATGGTGTGGCCCGGCGCGCGCTACTTCGTAGAACATTTCGAGAAAAAAGCGGCGCGCGCTACTTCGAAGAAATTTAGACGAGTAACATCCGTCAAGGGGACGCGCGGCAGCCCGCAGAAAAGCTCCTCTTCAAAAAATCTTACAACCATTTTTCCTTGATCCATCAAAGATTTCTCTAGATATACAGCTTTAAGTACTTCCATCGTAATTCGTAACTTGTAATTTATATAGGAAGCAGTAAAACTATAAGTATAACAGCATTTTTATGTTCATATGGAGTTACCTGAGGACCCCAGGCTATTATGTTCATTAACAAATAAAGATTTGGCGGAATGACAGGCTGAGCGCGGCCCAGTAAATATGGAGTGGCAAGTATTGCAGCACTTTTAGTTTCACTGCTATATTTTATAGTATAATTAGTACTATTGAATATTTGAATCGGGCTACCAGGTTTCTTATCTATGACTATATTCTATACTTACAGTATACATTTTAAACTGCTGAGATTTAATTTATCTCAGATGAATTTTGCACTTTTTATTGAAGTCGAGAGACTGATTGATAAACTTATAAAATATTAACGGGCGCTTTACTTGAACTCTTTGGAAATCAGTTGCTTGAGATTATAACCTTTCTTATCTGGCTTAACAGTGTTTTTCAAGACCATACGTTCAAATAAATTAGAATAGAGTCAATTTTATCAATAATGCAATGTTATATTAGATAAAATCAACTTTGGCATCAAATTCCTCTGTACTGTGGCCGCATTCATCAGCTGTAAATTTGGAAATGTGAACACATTATTTTTGAAAAAAATGTATAACCAATTTTTACAAAATTGCATAAACTCCTCAAATTGCATCATTATAATTAATTATAATTCATAATATTTCATCATTACTCATTGTAAGCCTGTAATTATTAATATGATAATGGGCACATGATAAGGAAAAAAATGTTACTTATAAAATAAGGGTATCTTTGGATGCTTGCATTTTAAATAGTAGTTGTAGAAATTAGGAAGTATAGTAAGGTAGTATAGTAAGGTAGTGCACTAGTGCAGGTAGGCAGTCATAGGAGCCCAAAAATCGACATCACCATAAAACAGTACACCACTATAACAATTGTCAAGTTATAACATTTAGTGAAGTAAAGAACCATTGTTAACCATTGCAGCGCCCTATCATGTGCTAGAGGAGTCGGACTTCATGCAAGTGTCCTAATTTTTGAGAGGTTTCCAATTTGTCCCTTTAGCAGTGCATCATCACCAGACTAACATTGCTTCTCCGCACTATGTGTTCTGTCAATATTTTAGGCTACTGATAGATCCGTCAAATTGGAGCAGGACTATTGTTCTGTCTGTTGAACGATTTGTAAGCGTTCCAGATACAAATACTGCTGTCCCACGCTATACTGATGTACTGAGAACGTTCCGGAACGTGCATCAGTCCCCTGACTGAGTCCCGGTGTCCGGTGTGAGTCTGAACTCGCTTCATTGTTCCTCCTTCGTAGACTCTGTGAGAAATGTGTGACTGTGACATAAACGTGCAAGTACAGTATCGAACAGTTGGTCTCCAAGTTTAAGTGTAATTATATTTTAATTTTGACCTTAAAGCGGCCAGATTTTCGCCACCATGTTATAAAACTTGAGATCCACTGGAAGTTACAACTTATAGATGATTCCCATGATTTAACTGAAAATATGGATTTTATTTTAAAGTCCATGATTTGGACAATAAACAGTTAGGATTTAAGGAATGCAAAAGTACACTGACCTGATGATATCTTGCAGACCCACGATCACGGCCCCATTAACAAGATCACAAGTTAGAGCAGTAATGGGACACTGAAATTCGTGAAAAATTAATTATCCAATTGGTAACTAATGATACTAATTGTATCATTAGAATGCGAAATTCGGTGAGAAAACCACCCGAAAAAATAAGGAAACCGAAAAATATAACCATAAAACTTGATAAATTCCAACTAACAAACCACCGATGTAAACTTCTTACCAATTAGTTACAATAATGTCAGACCTGTGTGTCAGTTACAGTTGTTGTTGTCTCTAGATAGCCGTGTTTGTGAACGCTCCAAGTTCTCAGGGTACAGTCGTCACTTCCTGACACCCACATCGAGCACAAGTCGTTCCATACCACGTGCGACACCTCGCTCTCGTGTCCTGCCCACGTGCAATTATTAGAACTCGTTTCAATTGTAAAAAACCCGTGAATGTGTGATAATATAAACTATTACATTTATTGAAGATTATGTAATGTAATTGTAACGTGATGGAAATATTTTAAACGGGTATATCCTGTCAAAACCCAGGATGCACTACCTGAAGAATTCGTTTTAACTTTGTTTGAAAAGCATTAATAAGATTGCTAAAGTTCATACCTTGAAGTACGTGCAAAAGGTTCCAGGATTTGACAGAGGTAGCGAACTTGCGAATGTAGATAAGTTTGTCAGCTGAAGAGTAAGCAAACTCTCTTCTTGATTTTGCGTAAGCCACATCTGTTATCACCTCTTCTGATGCTGCCTGTAGTTAAATGTAAACGTGAGTGGTATCACTGTAGTCTGCTACAAAAACGTGACTTTATGATTCATGTTCAAAAAGTTGGTTGGAAACTGAAAGCATCAAGTGGTATTCAAAAGTTGAACAAAATTACAGCCTCAATTATCATAATCAAGCAGTTGTTGCCTGTCGGACATAATTCGGACATCACATAAATGGGACATGTGAGCAAGCGAATAATCGGATCTATTCTGATTATTCTAACCTCTGATCCAGAAGAGTTGGTGTAAGTACCGACTAGAGTTCCAAGTTGTAAGTTCCACAAGCACAGTCTCCTGTCTGCCCCACAGCTTATTAAATGACTCGTGCTCATGTACGATTCTTGGGGGACAACTGCTGCACCTGCAATTAATAAACACAGTCACGTGACCTCATTTTACCCTCACGTGACGTCTTCATATCTAAACGTGACGTCATTATACCTCCGGTGACGTCACAAAACCTGGGTTTTTAAGCGGGAGAAGCTGCACTATTGACTATGTCTTATATCCGGACGATTGGAGTAATATGTATATATTTTAGTTGTTTGATCAATTTCGGGTCCAACATTAAAATATCAACATTTAAGTGCACTTAAACACGTTTTCATTTTAAAATATGAAGTAGGCAATCTGAAACAACAAGGAGTGCGGTGCTCTATTAGGGGTCGTTCACATATTACGTAATCAGCTGAGGGGGAGGGGGGTTTCCGAATGATTACGCTAGTGTAATTTTGACACAATAGCTATGTGTAAAACTGATTACGGGGGGGGGGGGGGGGGGGGGGGGGGGGGGTTAAAAATGTTCCAAAAAATGATTACGTAATATGTGAACGACCCCTTAATAAGAAGGAAGATGATTAACAGATTAAAACTCGAAATTGTATTGTGAAAGTTGTATATAACGTTGACTTGATTGAGTCCTAAAATTAAAAACGCCCACTTATTTACTAGTACAATAATTAGTGTAAGGGGTTTTTGCACAAAATTACTGAAATTTGACAGCGTTATTAATTATTAAAAACATCCAAACGCGCGCGCATTGCCGTCACGGTGAATACATTACAAGAGTTTTTTTCCATAAAAATTTATTCGCGCGTTACGCAAACATAAATGAACTTTTGGACTGCAGAAGGACTTTCGACTGAACTGTTCCCGATCGCGGGTCGCAAAAAATCAAGCGTTTTAAGGAATAACTCAGAATGATTTTGAATACTAAATAGATTCCACTACAAAATTTCCTTCAAACTTTCCAGATAGTAAGATTGGTATAAAACATGATAATCTGTCCAAGTTTGGGTCAATATCTGTGACCTGTGTGCCAATTTCAAGATGTCACTTCAAACAACAAAATATTTGTAAATCAGTGCATTCTACGGAATGTGGTCGATTATCTCGAAAACTGAATAACATTTTCAGAGATTAGGGCACAATAGTGACATACTGTGTGAGTTTAACCTCACCAGCATGATTATTAGCCTTTCATCTTTTGTCATGTTGACGGTCCCAAGGCCGTGTAAAGAGGGAGGTTTGTCTCTAGTGCAAAGCAGTGGATCGAGTGCAATGGGTCAGCTGCTCATTCACCTTAAATTCCTTGCAACAGAAACGTCTAGTACTATAACTCAGTCTACTGTCGGGAACGGAATAACTGGACTCCGAGGAGCCAGGAAGACAGTCAGAGGGCAAAGCCAGAATCTGGGACCCTCTAACCTGATGAGATCTACACGAACTTAAATGAGTCGTGTCACATTACAAACTGGATGTCCTGCTTCTCACCGAGACTCACTGGTCAGGAACAGACGAGAAGGTATTGAGCAATGGGGATCTAATCATCAAATGTGGTAGATCAGATGGGGTTCGCAAGCAGGGAGTGGGTATTGTTCTTTCTAAGTCAAGAATTCATTACTATCAGACAGTCCTGTATCTGAACGGGTGATGTCAGTTCGCTTACACCACACAAAACACGTAAACATCAGCGTAGTTATTGGATATGCTACTACGGAGTACGGAGGATGCTATAAGTGCTGACAAAGATGCATTTTACAATCAGCTTACTGGAGTTCTTGACAAGGTTCCTCATCGATCGGCAGGATGTACTTCTTTTGGGTGGGGAATTTAATAGATATCACTCCAACTTATCAGAAACGGCTAAAAAGTCTAAATTTTCACGAATCGTGTGCTTTTTCTATGTAAGCAAATACTTTGCCAACGTTGCTCGATCTTGACGCTCTTTTCCATGCGTTTTATTTGTTGATAAAAACAATTTGATATTACAGTTATGTGAGCCTTTAAGCACGAATTCTGTTAAAACTACTCTCCTGTAAAATGTAAAAACAACTCCTAACATGCAACAACAGCAACGGAAGACATTATGAAGGAGCAGCAACTTCAGGAATGTTTGTAGTGTCAGCTTTGGATCCAATCATGACGTGCAAAGAGCGTGCCGAAATCCAGCTCAAACAATAAACTTTATTAATGTTAAAATCAAACTTGAATAATCTTTAATGTGTGTCACGTCATCTTGCTTAATGGTCGGCTTGCTATGTATCCAGTTGTGAGTTGTTGCAGGGAATCGAGCAACAAACCACATCAGACACGCGCAGCACTTTTAACATTTTATTATTAATTTACAGAAAAACTTTAAACACAAGTCTCGACTGCTTTTCATTGAGTAGTGCAAATCATTGAATGATAAATTTATGAAAATTTGTACGTTACTTAATAACGGGTGATGAATAAAAAATGGGACTACATGTTTTAAATTCCTCAGCTTCCACCTGAACAAAATTTTGATATTTTACCACAACCACCAGTTACTTTGAACGATACTCGAACAGTTTCCGCCCCCATTTGATCAAATTGGTTGATCTTTGTCCCCGATAATGGTCTCGAACTAGGGGAGGGGTCCTATAAACATTTTACAGTAAAGCACTGTTCACAGAAGTCGCCTCACAGGTAGTTAAAGCTTCCATACAAAAAAATTTTTAGCAGAGAGTATGCCTAAACTTCCTATCTATCACATCCTAAAGCGATTTTAGCAGCAGAGGTCGGTAGCCAGAGCTACAGAGACAAAAAGGCCATCCTGTATTATAGCACTTACGAAAATGACCCAATAGGAACTGCTGGTGAGCCACATAACCGGCACCCTACCGAGATCCCTGGTGATCCGTTTTGGCTGTACTCTCGGTTATATTTCCAGGGCAGTCACATGACTAAATGTTTGTTGTCTGAAAGGTGTCAAAGCCCCTAAGATTAGAGATAACACCCAAAAATGGGAAGTCGTGAGCAAATTCGAAAATATGTATAATCTTGACTAAACGCTATATTTTGCTATTGTTGAGAAGAAGTATTTCGGTCTGACTGTTGTCCATACGTCAAGAAGTAGGGAATTGTATGCTTAAGACTAGGGTTCAACACCCATCAGCGTAGCTAAAACCAGTTAGAAGATATTTGAGCTCAAAACAACCTGAGGGGTAAAATTTTACCGTGTGAAAGATCGAGGCTAGGTCAAACTATCGGCTTTAGCATGGTCTATAATGGTACCAAGTAAAAATCAAAGTGCTTGGAGCCTTGCCTGGTGTTGTTCCTACAAGAAAATATCCCAAAGGGTGGAAGGTGGTTCGTTAGGATGGGGCTAGATCGTATTTTTCTGCGAAAACCACATCTTTACTTGCAGCCCATAGGGTTAATTTCGTCCCAAAAGTGATCGACCAAAGTAAATTTTGACAATCTCAACCCATAGAGGACTTCTTTAGAGTCCTGGCAACACATGTCCATGCCCGGAATATGGCTAGCAAGCATACATGGGCCTTAGGGCACAAAAGAAGAGACTGCGCCAACACGATTTTAGGCCCAACTGTACAGACGGATTTTTGAGCTTGAAGAAAGAAGCCCTCCTGAACCAATCAAAATGGGCTCATGGGCGCTTGTCATTGACCATACTTGTTCAAAATTGCCCGCTTTACAACGCTGTTTCATTGGTTTGAACCAAAAATAGTTTTATCGACACATCGCCCGTTAGGCCCTGTTACTGACCTGTTACTGACCTGTTACTGACCTGTTACTGACCTGTTACTGACCTGTTACTGACCTGTTACTGACCTGTTACTGACCTGTTACTGACCTGTTACTGACCTGTTACTGACCTGTTACTAACCTGTTAGTTGTTACTGACCTGTTACTGACCTGTTACTGACCTGTCACTGACCAGTCACTGACCTGTTACTGACCTGTTACTGACCTGTTACTGACCTGTCACTGACCTGTTACTGACCTGTTACTGACCTGTCACTGACCTGTTACTGACCTGTTACTGACCTGTTACTAACCTGTTAGTTGTTACTGACCTGTTACTGGCCTGTTACTGACCTGTCACTGACCTGTTACTGACCAGTCACTGACCTGTTACTGACCTGTTACTGACCTGTTACTGACCTGTCACTGACCTGTTACTGACCTGTTACTGACCTGTTACTGACCTGTCACTGACCTGTTACTGATCTGTTACTGACCTGTTACTGACCGGTTACTAACCTGTTAGTTGTTACTGACCAGTCACTGACCTGTTACTGACCTGTTACTGACCTGTTACTGACCTGTCACTGACCTGTTACTGACCTGTTACTAACCTGTTAGTTGTTACTGACCTGTTACTGACCTGTTACTGACCTGTCACTGACCAGTTACTGACCTGTTACTGACCTGTTACTGACCTGTTACTGACCTGTCACTGACCTGTTACTGACCTGTTACTGACCTGTCACTGACCTGTTACTGACCTGTTACTAACCTGTTAGTTGTTACTGACCTGTTACTGGCCTGTTACTGACCTGTCACTGACCTGTTACTGACCTGTTACTGACCTGTTACTGACATGTTACTGACCTGTTACTGACCTGTTACTGACCTGTCACTGACCTGTTACTGATCTGTTACTAACCTGTTAGTTGTTACTGACCTGTTACTGACCTGTTACTGACCTGTCACTGACCTGTTACTGACCTGTTACTGACCTGTTACTGACCTGTCACTGACCTGTTACTGACCTGTTACTGACCTGTTACTGACCTGTTACTGACCTGTCACTGACCTGTTACTGACCTGTTACTAACCTGTAAGTTGTTACTGACCTGTTACTGACCTGTCACTGACCTGTTACTGACCTGTTACTGACCTGTTACTGACCTGTCACTGACCTGTTACTGACCTGTTACTGACCTGTTACTAACCTGTAAGTTGTTACTGACCTGTTACTGACCTGTCACTGACCTGTTACTGACCTGTTACTGACCTGTTACTGACCTGTCACTGACCTGTTACTGACCTGTTACTGACCTGTTACTGACCTGTTACTAACCTGTTAGTTGTTACTGACCTGTTACTGACCTGTTACTGACCTGTTACTGACCTGTTACTGACCTGTTACTGACCTGTTACTGACTGTGAATGCTTGTTCAGGACTCGTTTACAGGTAAACCCAGCAACTCTGTTTGTCACAGCGCCATCTTCTATCGTTTGGAACAAGTTATCTCCTCCTAACAAGGTATTCAGTGATTAATTAAGATTTGTAATTAACAAATGTTATTTTAGACGATCGGGTTAAATTACTTAATTTAATTAACTTACAAAAAAGTATTAATCCAATGGGAATTTAGCATACATATTCATACGTGAATTTTTCGAAATTTTACAAACACTGAAATGTTGTTAATTTATAGTTAACAAAATCAGCTAATTAATCAATTATTCAAATTATAAGCTCGGTTAACCTGGTACGCTATCTCTCAGCTCATTCATGGCTTGTTCGTCAAACCCCCAAATGTAGATATGACAGTCATCCGCAACAGCTACCTAACAATTAAAACAATGTTAAGTGACTATTGATTTAATACTATTTCTAAAGACTATTTTAACTATCGTCATGTAAAATTGGTAACAAGATCAGACAAATACTGGGCAGAAACCTACTTTGAAAGTGAGTAAGACGGTTATTGTGGCTCATTATCAGTATACTCACCAAAATATCAAGATCTTCCACAAAAAGCATCTTGTTAATACTGCGACTTTTTCTTTCAGAACCGTTTAGTGGTGTTATGACGTCATAGTTTGAGAACTGGAGAGTTCTTGTCATATCCTGAAAGAGTGTTATTAATATTCATATCCTACCTTTAGTCACCGTAAATTTCATACTGCCAAATGAGACCTTGTTTGGAAATGAGAATTTGTGAAATTCCAATGCTTTAAAGTCTACGATAGTGTTAAGGGAGTAGGGAGTTTTTATTAAAATTTTCTCGAAATTGACTTTATATAATAGTTGTTTCTAAAAGAGAGGAGTGATGTCTTTTTACTGCTTTTGATCCAATGGAAAAAAAATTGTTCTTAGCCGAATTTATCGCCGGTCAAATGTCAGCGCTTATGCGCAATTGTAATTGTGCGAGCGATTTTCGATTGCGTGCCTTGAAAATCGAATCTAAAAATCTATCTTCTTTTACACTTTTTTGAGCAGTCACCTTGTAACCTTCAGGATGTGTTCTAGGGATCACTCGAAAGAGATCATCAGGTCAGAACTTTGAGACAGGCCTTTAAAAATCTTATATTTCATTTTGAAAATATTGGACCCCCCTCCACCCGGGGCCGTCTATAAATAAACAGTATTTATAGACGACCATAGCAATAGTGATTGGGGGTTATGATATTTACGTTGATTTCCTAATAAGAATATGTTGCTATGTTTGAGGAGTTCTAATATTCATGAAATTGGAAGTTCGAGAGTCCAGCATGTAATTCTAATAGAGGCCTGTTGCTTGGAGACGATACAAATTTAATTTTATTTCAGTTTGCAAACATTAATACAAAGATGGCTCAATTTTACGATATAAAAGCTATCTTAAAGCTATCTTATAAATTAGATACAAAAAAGCAACAATATTTTAGCAGATACTGATATACTCGTGGATTATTGTGAAATAAACTGTAGGAGAAGATAGATGTTTTGACTCGATTTTCGATAATCGCTCGCGCAATACAATTGACTCGATCACCATAAGCACTGACCTTCGACCGGCGATTACTTCGGCTAGGAACAATATCGAATGACACATATAGAAGCATATTGTTAAAATATGCTTCCATGTGATATTTGTGGGTTGTTTGACCTTTTAAGTGGTAGAATTTAACACCAGGTTTTTAAATTCATCAAGATCCAGTTCATATTTCATTGTAATTTTGTGGGTGGCTGTAAACAGATGTTGTATTTGATCGTGTTGCGTGACCTGTTTTATCAGACATTTTTGTTTTTATAAACAGAGCTACGAGTTCAAATATTATTATTAAGCTGTGTTGCACAATCACGTGACGCCATATTATCAGACCTGAAGATTAAAAGAGTCGCTGCTGTACATAAAGTTGTTCAGTTGTAACTGCTCCCATTTCGTGATCCGTCCCTCGCAGTCCCCTGATAATGTAAGCTGATCAGTTTATAATGTTAAATTCTACAATCTTACGGCTTACTGTTTATAACTTTATAATCTTACAGTTCATAATCTTACAGGTTAATATTTATATAATCTTACATTGTCATTGTACAATCTTACAGTTTACAATAGAGTCTTGAATCTGCTATCCAAAGAGAACTTTCGGGTAGCAAGCAAATAGCTGGCTATAACTGTGATAAGCTTACCGTATTCAACAGAATATAAAATAATCCCGCCATAATCGACCTTAAGTACGTACCAGTAAATATCAAGATGGGAGATTTGCCAGTGTAAGCCAGACCTTCAGGAATGTGTTTGCACTGCAGTGTGGATACCGGAGCGCACGAGTTGTATCTCCACGCCTGGGGGCAGTGAAAAACATTGCAGTGAAAAATTATAAAATTATAAAAATCATTAGATGGTACCAATGTAAAGGGTGGCCCAGAAGTAACTTCCCACACACAACCCTTGAATAACTCTTGAAATCCGTTTCATAATTATACAAACATTTCAGGGATTAAAGTTGTGGGTAAAACTAAGATTTGCTGAACGTTTCGTAAAAATTCGTCAATTACAAGGGTTATGTGTGGGCCACCCTTTTGCAGCATTATTCTCTTACCATGACAGTTCGTCTGTTGGTAGTACAGAAGACTTCCTGCAGTTCTGGTACGTACTGTAACAATAGTAGCTGGTATTTTGAGGAATCTGTTCCTTTACTCTTCTGCGAGCTCACGTACTCGGTTATGTTCTCTCCTGGTAGAAACAGTGGTGTAACAATTCACATGACGTCACACAAATCACGTGACGTCACACAATTCACATGACGTCACAGATCACGTAACCCAACCAGATTAGTGAACGTGATGGGTTTACAAACATGTCTTTGAGTTCAATCACAATACCACGTTTTAAAATAATTCCTTGTGTTTGATAACCTGACTTGGGATCGAACATTGAAACATCTTGCGACCCACATAGAACCCACAGGACTTTCGTGAGGGGGATGTAACAGATACTTGTTATTGTGCCGCTTAAACCTGAAATAGAGAATAGATCACTGAATGTCACTTGACGTCACAGTTCACACACCACGTGACATCACACACCACACAAGTCATTCGACTATATATTCATACTGTAAACTTACATCACATTCTTATTTAATATCAAATTAGAGGGAGTACTGCAATAGAGCAAATTGGAAAATGACCACATGTGTTGCCTACACACGGTGGTGACCCCCTGAAATGCTTGTTAAACAGTTAATGTGTTGAATATATAATGTGCTCTTTGATTAATGAGGGATTTGTAGGCTACAGTGTACAGTGTGTTGTTGAGTGCTTTTAAAAGCTATTCAATAATGATTACTGGATTATGAAATGTTAGCCAGCAATCAATCATGTGCCCGCCATGCCAGTACCAAAAACTTTTAATTTCCTTTTAAAACTTATTTTCAACACATTTAACCCCTGGTTCAAATCTCTACCCGAGTAAATTCGTTGGTTACCAGGTAACGGGACTTTATCATAATTGTTATAATATGTGTCATATTAGCAACAAGAGAAACGCCATTGTTGGACGTGAGGAGAGTGAGGACTCCTCAAACTACATTAAATTAATTCCTTCTGTAACGTCCTCAATAAATGTAATAGATATGTAGTGTTGTAATTAGTTTAAAACTACTGATACATTTTTGAACAATAGAAAGTCTCTCTGTACGTTACTCCTGTAAATAAGGTACCCTAATTTTACATTACAAATGGAATTTAGCATAAGCATGAGCAGTAAGCACTTCCTAATTATCTGATAATGTGCACATGATGGTAAAAGGCGCTTACCCTCAATTTTGTGGATGAGTTGGATGTCTTGTGTCCATATCTTTACAGATCTGTCAAAGCTGCCACTAAGTATCTGCCACGTGTTACTCTCACTGTCTCGGATTATCTGTAACAGACTGCAGTTTCTTTAAACTATACGCATGATAATATAGTTTAGTATACTTGTATATTTTTTAGTAAATGACGATAGACTCAATAAATCACTGAATTATGTAAAAATAGAATTCTAATTTGCTGCCAATCACACGGATTCAATAGTTTTTTAAACTAAGAAACGTATGCATACCAAATATAAAAGCAACATCTTATGAGCCTACCGTGAGACACGTAATAGCTGCCGCATGAGCCTGTCTAAAAGCAGATATAACATGAAGAGTATGATCGCTGGGATAGGAGGATGTCTCGTACATAATCAGTGCTCGGTCGAAACTGGCAGTGTAAACCCGGGAGTCTATGCAGACTATCGACTTTACGATGTCTGTGTGATGAGTAACTGTCTCACCTGAAACTGGCAGTGTTAACCCGGGAGTACATTTGGGCGAGAAGCCGGGGAGAGTAGAAGGACTAGAAGTGAGAGAACTGGGAGGTCGGATAGCGAGAGTCCGATATATATAATCAGCCACTTAAGCCTAAATTCGTTTGATATGATTATAATTCCTGTTCCCTACTTGGGACAAATAAAAATCAGCAAGTTTTCCAGTGCGCTTATATTGGTAATCAATACAGGTAGAAATGATTTGACAGAAATTTAAATGAAATCAAAAAAGAAAGCACATTTTTCATCGAGATATGGCGAAGACAGGGAAGTTCCATCGACCAAATTGAAGGCTTTGACTGATTTGTTAAGTCCTATTATGATTTGTTCTCTTTTGCTGTTCCATGATACACAATAGATTGGGTTGCCTATCTTGATTACCTGCAATATACAGAACTGAAGTACGACACATTAAGTAAAGAATTTCAAAAGTATAGAATTTATAATGTCGTATTATCATAATATATGATATAAGTTTATGTATCTGTGATCAAGAAAGCTGGTTCCGAAAACAGATGGAAGGTCTTAGATGCTTACTTGGTGAGGAATAGAACTAGAGCTCCATGTGATAATGAGCCCATCATTAGATGCAGAAACAAGGAGCTTTGCTTCTTGCCAAAAGAAAAGGTCTGTTACCCAACCTTGGTGTTTGTTAAGGTTCTGAACAGTTTTACCAGACTCAGCTTCCCAAATTTTGATACTGCCATCCTCACTGCCTGAAATTGTGGCATTTTACATTATAGGTTATAACTCGTTCAATCGCTATTTTGTTTAAAATTTTGCACTTTTGAATTGCACTTTTTAACAATTCTATTTTGAATGATCTAGGATTCTTTAACCATAGCTGGCCTGCTAAGATCCTATTCTCATGTTAACTGACACTTGACCGCTAGTTAAAAGTTCTATGTGGCAATAACGAGTATTGGAAAGATCAGTATATTCCTCTAATACCTGTGATGATCTCACGTCTAAGAGGATTAACAGTTATTGCTGTAATTGGTTTGCTATGAACCTCTTTGTGGGTAGTCTTCAGTTCCATATCATCTATCTTTTATGTTCGGGTAGCCAGTAGCCATACTAGCAAATTGAAAGGATTGAAAGGATTTTCATATCAGAGGTTTGAAATTATTTTGAAACATAACTAAGACCCCAGCTAGACCGCACATAACCTGTCACCTAATCGATTATGGGATGCATCACATGCTATTTAACTAGGACCAAAGACTCCATCTCGTACTGCAGTACGTGCTGTCTAGCTAGAACAGAGCCTCCATCCTATAACGCATCAAGTGATGCGTTATGTGCCATCGTTCAAGAATGACGACTGCATCACATACTCAGAAAGTGCCTTATTACTTCTAGCTAGCGCAAAAACGGAAAGATAAGAAGAGGTGTGCACGGGACCTTGTGATGCACCTGCCACTGCAGCTCAAACAATACTACATGATGATAACATAAATGAGGAAATTTCTCCTGTACCGACCGTCAGTGTAACATTCAAATAACATTGGAACACTTAAGCGGCACTTAAGGCACCACTTTTGCGGCACTTGATGGACCATTTTTGGGACACACGCGGCATTAGGATTTGTGTCACTTTTATTATTTGTATGCAGGACTTGGAGAAAAATGGAGAACTGATATTTCATTCTATTGGATTCTGTAAACGCTAACTAAACATGACACGATGTTTAAGATTGTTCTCTTGACTTGTCCATTTTTTCCATTTCAAAATGTTAAGTGAAAGGTTACGAATGGTCGTTTTTACAGACAAACGTGGATTTTGGAGATTGTGGTAGGTAGATCTGAATATTTCGTGTTCCTTACCTACTTACTTCCGTCCGTTACCATGACAACGAGCTGCACAGCGCGCAAGGGTTGCTTGCGGAAATGTGATGTATAGCTAGCCTGTGATCAATGAATGCGCGGCGCAAGTGTATCAGGTAATAAGCCCAATGTACTGATGTGTATAGAACATGAGTATAGTTTACTTTTGCTAACAATTACAAGTTAAGTTCTACGGCAATTGAATTGAATTTCAAGTGTTTCCCTATACTATTAAAGCATAATTTATCAATATTATTATTATGAAATGAGCTGATTAGAGCTTATACTTATAGTTATAGTGGATAGAAATCTAGCGTCCGCCAAAACGAAACAACGAGCGCAATTCTTGTTAATAAACTGATCAAGAAAACAACAATTTTTTTTTTTTCAAGAAAACAACAAATTTTTATTTAAATCAATTATAGCAACAATTTGAAAAACTTTAAAGCTCTTCTATTACCATGGAATATACTACGGGTATGGTGACTTGGGCTATTGAGTTGTTAAGTAGATTAAGATTAGTAAACCTGCACTTGCATCGTATATTTTATAAAAACTAGAAATTAGGCTTCACGGTAAAATGGAGAAGCAGGCTGATCTTGGAGAGAGCAGACCGTAAAGTTTACGCACCCACCAGGGCTACCTACCTTAGACCCCAGTTGTTCTTTTTGGTTTATCAGCTTGTATTGTTATATTTATGGACCCCAAGTCACCACACTAAGAAGGAGTATGTAAAAAAATAATAATAATAATTATAAGTTAAGTTATTATCATCATATCTGTTTAAAACAGTAAAAGTCAAGTTGAGGATTGACTTTCCTAGTTAATTTAAAGGTTCAAACGTTTGGGAATATAATAATGTTGGTATTTGTGTCTGCTGCAGCAATAATATCGAAATATCATTTGTCTAGAAAATTTTCGCCACTTCAGTAGATATTGGGTCGGCAATTTGGTGAGGATACAAGGATACAAGGATACAAGGATACAAAAGTGATAATTACTTTATTGAGTACACAATAGTTGTAATTCTGAAATAATTTAAGTTACACAATTCTAATTATTTACAAGTGTGTAGGGATAATTTAGAAATGTTATATAATGCTAGTTTTAGGAAAATAGATAAATCGAGTTTGTATGGTTCAATCTTATTTTAAGGTCCTATAGCATTATGCACTTGCCAGTATTTGAGTGGAAATCTGGGCTCTTATAATAGGCTGTATAATTTTCGTTCACAGAGAGAATTGAATGGATTGCTCTTGCTGTGGCAGTGAGTGTGGTAGGATCTAGAGTTTTGTTGGAGAGCAAACCGACTAGGTCAGTAATGTTTAGGGGATGGAAATTGAATTTTTCCCTAACTGAGGAGTAGAGCAAACAGTCAATTAATACGTGACTTTCGTCCTCAATAGGCTTTAGCCCTTTGCTGAAAAAGCAGTAGGTGCACCAACGTTCTTCTCTTGGTACAAGGGGGGTTTCATATCTGCCCCTTTCGATGTAGAGGTTGTGGCAGCTGATACGAAACCTTGTCAGACTTTTTCGAACATCCGGTATTTTGATAATTCGTAGGTATGCCTCTGGTTCGAAATCATGTTTAATTAAGTTATAGAATTCTAGTTTTGGCGAGGAGGCCTTGGCAGCTTTCCAGGTATTCACGAATTCTTCCCTCATGTTATGACTGATTTGGGTGGAGAGCTTAGATTTTGAGGAAGATGAGGGGGTGAAGTTGTATTTGGTGAGAAGCTTTGAGATGTTGGTATACCAAGGAAGTCCCAACATGATTTGTTCGTGAAATGCAGCACAGAGTAGTTCGTTTTCAGTGTTTTCAAGGCGACTATAGTAATCTATTGCAAGTTTGCAGGCTTCAAAGAATAGAGGGTGGCGCCCGCTTTCGCCCCAGCAACCTATATTTGATGCTTTTGAATGTACAGACAAAGACCACTTGATAAACTTTAGGTGGAATTTTTCATAGTGGTCTTGTGCAATGTACTTCAAGGTATGCTGGGGGTTGGCTTTGTCATCTATTTTTGAAAGGTATCTCATGGTTTTTGAGTGGGGGCATAAGACTTGACAGCCATAAAGCAGGATTGGTTTTATTAAGGAGTCAAATAGAATATTAAGGGCACGGTGTGAGAGGGCATCCTTAACTATTTTGCCTTTGAGGCCATAGAGAGCACGGAGAGCCTTGGCCCTCAGCTCAGTATTTGCTGCTGTAAACGATCCATTTCTGTGGAATATTATGCCAAGATAGCAGTATTTATCGGTGTGCTGGATGGGCTGACCTCCCAATGTGAATGTTTCATAGGACTGCTTTCGTTTGGGAGGGCTGAATATTACAATCTTAGTTTTCTTAATATTTACTTCGAGGCCCATGGAGTTACAGAAATCAAATAGAATGTTGATATTGACTTGCAAGGCCTCGGGACTTAGAGCAAGAAGGACAAGATCGTCAGCCCACAGCAGATGTGATATCAGAACGTCAGCAAGAACTGGATAGTCACCAACAGATTTCAGGAGAGATGAAAAGTCATTAATGTAGATTTTAAAGAGGTCTGGTGATAGGGGGTGTCCTTGCTCCGTTCCTTTGCCAATATCAATTTTAGGCGACAAGAGTTTGGAAATTTTTATATGGGCAATAGAGTTTTTGTACATATCACTTAGGCAGTTGAAGAAGTTACCGGTTATTCCAAGGCATGTAATTTTGTGCAGAAGGAGGTCCCTACATACAGTGTCAAAGGCTTTTCTTAGATCAACAAAGCATGCATAAAGACGAGCCTTTTTAGCTTTTGTGTATTTGTCAATTACTGTCTTGAGGGTGAAAACGTGATCGTTAGTTTGGGCACCTTTCGAAAATCCAAGCTGTTCTTTTGGGTCAGGACAGTAGAGCTTTTTGAAGTGTAACAGACGTTCAAGTAAGATGCTAGAGAACAGCTTACCCATACAACTGCCAACTGCTATTGCTCTGTAATTGTCTGGGCTGAAGGGGTTGCCTGATTTATAGATAGGAGTGATAATACTGGTATGCCATGGATAGTAGCCTGAGACCAGAGAGTGGTTGAATGTTTTGAGGATGACTTGGAAACAAAGCGGAGTTAGGCTCTGAAGCATCTCGTTTGAGATCAAGTCATTTGAGCAACTTTTACCCTTTTTGAGCTTTTTGATTGCGGAAGTAAGTTCAGAATCAGATATGGGCTTGTTTAGGATGTCCAGATCTGGTGGTTCAGGGTAATGTCTGTGATTGTGGTGAGTGAGATCTGGTTCCTGGTCTGGTTTATTATAGAGGGAAGCAAAGAAATCATGAAAGCTAGCCAGATCGAATTTGTCTAGTAGGGGACTAGTGTCATGTTCTTGTTTTAGCCTTTTAAATTTTTTCCAGTCAAGAATATGACCCTCTTCAATAGCTTCATTTAGCTTCCTAAGAAAGGATAATTTCTTACTGTTAACAAGATTGCTGTGCTTATTGCGTTGCTTATAATATTCTCGTCTGAGAATGTTGTTGCAGTGTTTACTACCTAGCCGGTTTGCTAGCCTATTCAGGTTGCGTCTCGAGGAGTTGACTTGTGGATCAAACCATTTCTTTTGGGCGGAATTTTTAGGAGGTTTTTTCACTTTTAATGCTATATCAGCAGCACTGTGGAGACAGTTAGTAATTGCATCGTTCAGTTCATTATTGCCCTCCAAGGTGCCGCTAAATTCGTTTGCTACAATGTTTTCCAGGTTATGGACAATTTCGGGCGAGTTGAGGGCTGCTTTAAATAGTAAGTGGGAGTTGTTGTTGTCCCACTTATAGCCACACGGTAAATTAGAAAAGTCTGGGAGCTGGAAGTTGGCAACAAATGGTTCGAATGTGGTGAGTTTCAAGACTAAGGGACAGTGGTCAGAGTATGATGTAAACTCTTTAACTTGAAGAGAGTTTACATGATCTCTTGCCCACGAGGTGATTATAAAATAATCGACCACACTGCTTCCATTATATTTGTGACAGGTCATTTTTCCAGTGGTGTCCCCGAGGGTACGCCCATTAAGAATTTTCAGTTGGTTATTAATAACCATGTCAAGAAAATGTTGGCAGTGGGGTTCAGATATAGTCAGGTCAGAGTTGTTTCTGGGTTCTTCAATGTCAGTGATGGTGAGTGAGTGATGAAATGGTTTGGTCTGTGACTGAGTGAGGGGCGATGTGAAAGTTGTGGTAAGTCCAGGTGTTATTATTGTTGATGGATTGGGATCCCAGGATGATACTTTTACAGCGTAATTTAACCAAAGATACAGAGGTAGTGAGGATTTCCCCATTCTCATTTAGAATCCGTTTATGTATGCTATTCCACAATTTGGAGGCTATATAAAGAAAAGTGTTGGTTTTTCTTGGGAGGATTATGACATTGCTTGTATCACGTTTTGATGAGTCTATAGTACAGTACAACGAGTATGGAGTGCGAAATTTCATAATTCGAAATATCTCAGATATACAGTGGTATTTGTACAAGTTTTGAACAGTAAGCAATTTTAGTCGATTAAAAATGGGCTTGGTGTGCTCTTTTTCGAAAAAAGCAGCTCCTAACCTCTGTTTTGTATAAGGTCTGGCTCGTGCACAAGTGGCATGTTTGTCGAGGTATGCATTTAGGTCTCCAAAAAGGATTCTTATACAACGTTTCTGAGTTATGAACAGCTTATCGTTTGGTTGGTCTTTGAGGGCTGAGCCCCAAACACTTATTCCGTAAGCAAGATGTGATTCCAATAATGCAGAGTATATTTTTTGGTAGTGTTCCCCTGGAACTGAATGTTTAATCCTGTTAAGTGCTCCTATAGTGGATCTAATTTTTTTTCTTAGATATTCTATATGTGGGCCCCATGCCAGCTAAGTTGTTCATCAATTACTACACCAAGAAATTTGGTGTTGCTAACCTTGACAATTTTGTGTCCATTTATAAATATTCCTTGTGATTTGTCATATTCATTGGCATATGGCCTAACCCTGGCGCAGGTTTCATCAGATTCGCATGCAGGTAGAAAATGTATGTAGCAGCATTTAGACATATTTATATGTAAGAGATTACTTCTCATGAATTTGCATATGAAATCAAGAACTTTATTGGCCTTCAAGTATGTTGCTTCTTTGGACGGTCCAGTGATAAATATATTTGTGTCATCAGCATAGAGCACAAATTTGCATTCATCGCCTTTGTAACAGTTTATTATGTCGTTCATATATAATAAGAAAAGTAGAGGGCCTAGTATGGAACCTTGGGGAACTCCATATTTTACATTCATAGTCTCTGATGTAGTGTTGAGAAATGAAACATACTGTGATCTATCGGATAAATAGCTTTTTAGAAGTCCTAGAGCTAGACCTCTAACCCCCATCCACTTTTAACCTTAAATTGGACATAACTACCTCACTAGCTGAAGTAGCTTATTGTTTCATTGAGGTAGGTCTAGATGGATTATAAACCTATAATTAGTCCAACTCGATTATTAAGCAACAATTAACAAGTAAATCAACGCATTGCATGTGATAGGCATTGTTTATGGTAGGCACATTGCTCATGCTTATGGTAGGTACAGCGCCTCTACCTATTCCAAAATTTTTATAATATTTATAAGCTCATCGAGGCCGTCCATCTTCTGTTTACAGTTTTCCAAAGGATTGTGCACACCAAAACCCCTGTACTGAGTTTGTCGGCCGTTGCTCTAACCAGCAACCAAAGCCCCTGCACTTGCTTGAAGCGCTCGCCCGCCGAAGGCAGCAAAAACCTTTTTCAATCAAGTTCTCGTCAACTGTCAACTCGGCTGCAGTATTCTGTCCGTATGGTGCATAATTGTCCTCCCGGGCCTCCGTCTTCCTGTCACTGTATTCTGTCGAACCTGTTCCATACTTCAAGTAATTTTATATTTGACTTTAAATCAACTAATGTCATGTTGAGTTCAACTTTTATATAGTAGTACCAATACCAAATACCTTTACATAATGGATTATTTTAAATTATTAACTGATTTGTGATTACTATTTGACCATTGTTAATGATCTGGCCCGGCGTGCGCTACTTCGAAGAAATTTAGACGAGTAACATCCGTCAAATAACAAATTACTATGTACTAAACATTAAATTTTTCTACTTATATATATACAACGTTCCAAATCTAAATTCGATAATAAACTTCATATTAGTGCTGCACTGCTGCCGGCTGCGTGGTGATGTCCAGGGAATCAATCCACCCACTAGTGATGATAATATATTTTTGTTATGTGTGCCCAAGAGGGTGTAAATCGGGTCGCTCCTACTCACTACTATATATACTGAATGGCACTTACTAATTCGCTCGCCCAAAAATTTCACTGACTTTGGTTTTTATGGTTTTGCAGCCGTACAAAACGGTTTTACATAAACCCTAATCCCAACCCTAACCCTAACCATAACCCCGAAGCTAACCATAACCTTTACCACAACCCTAACCCTAACCCGAGCCCTAAACAATCGAATTCATGGTTTACTAGCCTGTCACGTGACCAAAACGGTTTTTTGCCCATAACCCTCCTGTCTCCGTGGAAGCATTTTTACCCTACGTCATGTGGGGTGATTCGGAATCAGCATTCCCTGGAGATTGTTTAGGACTCGGGTTAGGGTTAGGGTTGTTATAAGGGTTTTGGGTTATACTTGTCATACGTTGTATGACCCGCCGCGCACGAGTGCGGCTCCCCCTGTATCATCAGGACGACCTAGTGAAACGGCCGTGGGGGTCACGACGTGTCACGTGTTACAAGGTTATGAATAGCTTCGGGGTTATGGTTCACATAGCCATGTGTATACGCGTACTGCGTGACGCGCTTGTTTCACAAGTAGAATCTTTGCCGCCTTCGGCGGTCGCGCGCCACTGCAAGCGAAAGGGCTCTGGTTAGAGCAAGTTCAGGCGCGGCACCGCGAATTTTTGGCATGGCGCATGGTGCCGCGCGTAAGTTGCAACCAGCAACAAAAATTTAAAATAATTTCCCTTTACATATTTCCGATCAGAACATTTTTAGTTATATTGACTGTCATGTTGATATTATTTAATTGATAAAATTTGTTTTTGTATCTAAAGATAGATCGGAAGCAGTGGTTAAGGATATGAGGAAGCCAGAATAAGAACTATACTTCACAGATATTCGTTTCACAGACCATGAAATAGGCCACACCATCAGAAACCTGGAGGAGTGGATGTCTCCTTCCAAAATAAAGACGGTGAGTCCTGGCATCGGTCCAAGAATTTAACCAGCATACTTTGCCATGGTATTTGGACTAATGTAATCGAAATAGACAAATTAATGTGAAATATTATTTCAAACATCTCCTTTCATCCACACAATCACTGTTCACCTCAGAATCAAGTCTAAACACTTGGCCTCCAGGACGCTTCACAAACTACAAATCTGTGCACTGCCGGAACGCTGGTATGGAGTTCGCTAGCGACGTCAGATATCCTCCATTTAAAAACAGCAAGCTAAAAGATTTCCTCTACACTTTCTTGTTCTACAACTCAGGTGGGTTTTAATAAATTGAAAGTGAAACTGATATCCCAACCATATCAAAATGTAACTAGATATGTCTCTAGATACGGGTCATGAATGATTATGTTCAACAGATCAGTGCTGATAAGATTGAACCTATACATATATTATCAAGAAGTAAGGTGTCTGACAGTGTACGACACCAGTATTTATTGGTTTTCAACACCCTTTTACGCGTACAAATTGTATACGCATTACGCGTCATTAACATTTTCTAAAGCTTAAGATAGTCTGGATTTGACCTTAATCTTGAAATTTCATAAACTCCCGCCATTAAGAACAGTCTAGAAGAGTTTTAGTCTATCGAAAGAGTTTTAGTATCTCATGTCGGTCACATTGTCTTTCTGTTGGTCAAATATGAAATGTCAGCCCTTTCAGACAATTAAACTCGCGCTAAATGGCGCGCGTAAAGCCGCGCTTTCGCGTCGAATGATTTTGTTCAAAATCTAAGCTTATTGCTTTAAAAATCCACCATTTCTTAACTTCTGGTGGTGTTTTTCCTGAGCTGTCTATATCATTCTAGAGGCAATCATTTAAACTTCAATTCAGTTTCAAAGTTTAGTCCGAAAGAAGGTAAATGTTGTCTAAAATCGCCACTAAAGAGAAAAATTCGGATTTGTGTATAGAAAATAAACATTTTGGCAGAAGTTTCAAAGTCTTCAGCATTCTCTCTGGTATTGAACTGTTCAATTTCTCAGGTTTATACAACCCCCGGAAGTACAGAGAAAAGAGCATACACAGTGTGGAATCTCGATAGCCTCTTAAGAGGACGTAAAAGCAACTCTGATCTTGGAGGCTGGAATTTCAACAATTCCAGGTCACGATTCTCAAACAGTTAGCCAATTTTAGCAGTTTGAGATGCACTGGATTTTCTCTCATTACTGCACACAAGTGTCAGATTTAATTTCACTGAAACTTAAGTCTCACCCGTATTATTAATTGGTTGCTTATATTAAAATCTGTTTCAGATGTCGAAGGTAATGGATAGCAGCGTCTAGAAATGCCCACTGTACAACTGAGAAGTGCTCCTTTGTTGCCCTCCTTCTCCAGACACTACATGTCAATAGTCCGAACAAAAAGTTGTAATATAAGTAACTGCTAAGGAGGGATTGTCGTTGAGAAAGGCATTTAAAAGACCAATCCAGAGCCTTCTGCCTTGTTCTTTTCACAGCAGACCATCAAGTTTTACAACAGATAGAAACAGAATCCTTAGCAAACTGTGCCCAGCCCAAAACCTACCAAATCAGACTGATTAAAGCTGCTCATATCTGCTATATAGCATCAATTAAAAATCAATGTAGCGACGACTCCGAACTAATCGATGAAGATGCGATGCTGGTCGCTTCTTGTATTAAAAATAATCTGAGACAAACAATGTTATTACTATAATATTGTAGCATAATGACGCTTTGCGTATAGCTGCTTTCCCATTTCTAATTATGCATTTCATCCTATAGTACAACTTGTAATATGATTAACTAATCAATATTAACTTAACACTAGAGAAGCTTTTTGATGAAAATAGTAAACAACTTATTTCAGTTCAAACTAAATTAAAGGTCAGACCGGGATTCGAACCCTCAGCTAGCACGGTCAATCGCCCTCTTAGCCAACTAAGCTATCGTTCCGGGGGCCGAAAATCAATATTAACTATCATATTCTCGTGCTCGCGCATTCCCTTCGCAAAGTTATTCTACGACGGTGTACATTTTTAGCCATTTTGGGGCTATTGCGCGGCGCGGAAGCTTTAAACTGTCATAACTCTGTCCAGGAACAGTCCCCAGAACTGATTAAACTTGTGATTTCCTAGTCAGAGGATGTACTTTACGAAAATATATGATTTGTCATACCTGCGTCCACACAGTGGAATCACAAATGGGTATAGTCGCGAACGCAAAGAAACCGCAGGGTGATGTTGTAGCGCGATGCACTACTGGGCAGCGCCGCGCATCAAATAATTCTTCTCGCAACCATTTCTTGACTTCTCGCAATTACTTTGGTAAAATCAGTAAAATGCATCACTGGGCCTCAACATACTGCAAAGGATCGACATCGTGAATAAAAATATGACGTAGAGTTTTTAATATGACGTAGATTTATAGCTAGATCGGTATGGCTTAATATATATATTACGTAATATAATATTACATATAATTTGTAATTATGAAATAAAATAACATACCCCGTAATATTGTAAAAATACGCTAATACCCATGGTTAGGTGAATGTTTACTGTTTTATCATTTTTGCTGATAAAGGGTCTTTTATTGTTTAACAGGTGATACTCATAAAATAGTAATTAAATTAATCTTGGAGAGAAAATACCGTAAGGATTACAGACCGTACCCACTGGGACTACCTGCCTGCCACAATTGTTTTTTTTGTTTAACCAGCTTGTATTGTTATATTTATGGAGTCCAAGTCAACACACTTAAAATTCTCAATACATAAAATGTCAAATAAATATACGAGTGACTTATAGCTATTAACAACAATAAAAATTGAAGATTTCCTTGTCTCCAAGAATACAAATGGTTGTGATTATAATATTTCCACTCTGATGCACAGCTGCATCTACTCCAGAAGATTCCTAAGCTAGCTTTTGGAAATATGAGTCTACTTTATTATGGCTATTGTTTACATGTGTTTAGAAGATGGCGGACAATTTTTCTCTGAATTGGAAATATCGTCTAAGCGTCCTTATAGTTTGCAGTTTCTGATGCATGTGAGAATTAACATCGGCATCAACTATGTTAATGAGAATATCACCTTTGTTTTCCTTTATAACATCAGTGATTGAAGCAATGAATTTCACCAACTTTGTCTTCCAGTGGGTCCATTCCTCATGGCAGTTGAAAACGGGGATAAGGGGTCGTTCAAATATTACGTAATCAATATTTTGGCAATTTTTACCCCCCCCCCCCCCTACGTAATCAACCGTAATCAAGACCGAACCCCCCCCCCTATATTACGTAATCAAGGTTTGACCCCCCCCCCCGTAATCAAGACCCAACCCCCCCTGCTATATTACGTAATCAAGATTAGACACCCCCCCCCCATTTTTGACTAAATTTGGTCAGTTCCCAAGCATGAAGACACTACCCGCTGTAAGAGCTGCTTTGAAAGAGCTCTATGTTCTTAAACGTATTATATAGATATTTTGTAATTTTGTCGTTGATTTAATTTTATTACTGATTAAATTTTATTACTATCTATTACATGTTCATGTTAAGCCATTTATTTATTAAAAGCTATCACAAGTACAACGGATTAATGAATGAAATAATCGCAAAGCACTTACTAAACGAAAATTGGTTTAAAAAACGAAAATTTTGATTACATAATTAATGAAAATTGTCCAATTGGTATTTCGAAAATCGGTAAAAAATTAAAATTTTGATTACGTAATCAACAACCAAAACCCCCCCCCTCCTCTGTAATCAACCGTAAGCATTTGAACCCCCCCCCCTCGGCTGATTACGTAATATGTGAACGACCCCTAATGACGTTTCAATGATTTATTATACTCTGTGAGTTTTACTGAACTGATGCAATGAAACGATAGAAGTTCTTAGAAGGATATAGTCAAACTTGAACTCATATTGTCCTTAAATAATGAATGGTTACAATTAAGTAATAAACCATTAATAAAACATTGGAATCTTAACAGTGACAGGCTTGAGTGATCTCATGACAAAGCTTACCAAAATTATTGTTTTCTCTTCGCTCAATGCCATTGATTTATATTATGAAAACTGAATTTAATGTAATATAATATGTTTTACAGATTTCTTATATAAATAACAATATAATTTGATTTGTAATCTAATGACAATCATGAGATTATTAAATTTTTATTCCACAAAGAAAACATTTGTTGTTTAATTTTAGGTTTACTGACTTTTGGCATTTAAATCTTATGTACACGCTACACTTAGAGATTTCACGATATATTATTTTTAAATGAATATATTTAGGTGCCTCATCCCTTCATGACAATGTTAAATAGCTGAGAGAAATTTCTTTTTGACTCAAAAATGTCAAAGAAGGAGGAAGATTATCTAGCTCCTCTACCACCTCGCCCAGCATCCAAAGAGGGGCAAATAGATGTTAGCACTACCCCTGCTTTTAAATCCCTCAATGAAGTAAGTAAAACATTAAATACCACTACAGATTCCATCTCTCGAAATTTATTTTATAGTTGTTTCTGACAGAGGGGTGTGATATCTTTCAGCTACTTTTGGTCCCATGAAAAAATATTATTCCTAGCCGAAATTATCGCTGGTCAAAGGTCAGCACTTATGTGCAATTGTTTTGTGCAAGCAATTTTCAATCGTGCGTTCTAAAAATCAAGTCTAAGAATCTATCTTCTCCTACATTTTTTGAGCAATCACCCTCAAACTTTCAGGATATGTTCTAGGGATCATTGAAAAGGTTCAAATTCTATTAGTACAGATACAATTATTTCAGATACAACGTCTTGTTAAATTATCGTTTTGATAAGATATAATTAATATATCCTATCTGGGATACTACTAACAAACGGTTTTTTATAAAGTGTTATCGCTTAATCATATATTGTAATAGCGCAAATTTCACCAAATCATAATAGATAGCTGTCATTCCTTAGCTGTTAGAGGCTGGTCAAGTTGGATCTGAGAGAATTGCTCAACTGAAGTCTAAGTATTCACAACTCTACGAGCATGTCAAAGGGTTAGTTTCAGTGTTAAATTTATCAACAGAACATTTATCGACATTGTACCAGGTACCAGGTACCTGTCCGTGTTTACAAAAATAAACCAACAGTGTTTGATTTTAATGAAAATTGGCAGAATTCACTTTGAAGTTTACAGTCTAACTACTACTAATACTCGGTCTTACTCGAATATTTTTATTTTAGTGCCAAGGAGAAAGAAACTGGGTTATTGCAACAAGCCAAAAGGTTGAATGACCAGTTAAGTCAGCAGAAGTACCTGCTGGAGAACACCACTGAGGACCTCTCAAGTGGAGATCTCACCGAGGTGAGTTAATTTATTGAAATCATTCACTCTTTCAAATTAAGTAAGTAATGTGGTATGATGAACAGTTTTGAGAAATACCAAATCAATTGCTTGAAATTGAGAATGTTATGATACTGAAGACTACTGGAAACGTTTTACCAAATAGCCACAGATGAATTATTACCATTGTCGCTAGGGTCCTGTAAAAAGTTAAGTACAAGTTTCGTGGAAGAGGTCCGTGCAGGCCGCAGTGGTCAGAGATCTTAAGAAGATGCTAATTAGTTTATTAGATTTCAATTTTCATCCCTTAAACTTGTTGAGCTTGACTGACAGGTAATTTACAGGTAGGACAACTGAGGCAGACTCTGCTTAAGCACACAAACAAACTTCTCGAGAGTGAACACAGGACTGTGTCCTTGCAGTTTGAGATCGAGAGACTTCAGGAGGAGCTATCCGACAAAAAGATCGAGGTGGAGAAATGTCCAAAACCAGGTTTGTGAGTATTTCCTTTTGAACAATGAACCTAAAACAATATTACGGAATTAACAATGTTATTGAGCATTTTGGTGATGTCTAAAACTATATGTGAGCTATATTTTTAGGTTTAGTCGAGGCACAAAGAAAGGAGTTATCGAAAGCAGTAGAAGATCTAAAGGTCGAAAATGCACAGCGAACACACGAGATTAGAAGATTGACTGAGGAACTGGGAGACAAAAGCAAGCAGACTGGTTTAGAAATCAAAGATGTAGGTACTTGAGATCACGTGTTTGTCAGAAATCAGTCTGCAAGTTTGAGATTATTGCGTTCAATTTTAAATTACACGACTATTTATCATGTTTCAAATACCAGCAGTTAATCAAAATGATAATAATATAGGTAGAAGGCAGTGGGGAAGAACAAGCAAAATTGAAAGTTGAATTAGTTCGCTGTAGATCTGCTCCTGGACACATTTCAAAACAAGTTGAAAGTATCAACAAGCAACTCGGGTAAGATAATCATAAGTTACAGACTAAACTTGTAAACAATGAAATTTAGAGGGTTTAGAGTACGTAACATATTCATTATCTGTACTCATAATCACGACATCTTATTTATCGTTTTTGATTTTAGTTTAACCTCTAAAACATTACAGTGACCTTCAAAAGAAAAGAGAGGGACTCGAGGAGCTTGGAAATGAGCTGGCAAGCGACACGACCAAACTAAGTAACAAACACAATGACCTGGTGAAGGAGCAGTTAGCGCTGGTGCACAGTGTGGAGGTGGCACAGCACCAAAGGGAGACTTTCGAGCGGGAGTATGATAACGGCGTGAAAGATCTGGCTCTCGTCAAGGAAAGAGAGTCTGCTCTCATTGGTGACAAGTCAGTTTTCATTCGATAATATTTGTTATTTCCCGATCTGTAAGGTTATGATTTTGTGCGATTAATGATGAATAATGTCTGCTAAACACGTGAACCGTTTTCCTTTCTAAATCTCAATTGTAATAACTCAGTCAATCACTCAATTAGTCTCACCATTAGCTTTAATTCCCTCCTCTCAGAGCAACATTTGATCTGCAACTCAAACATGCACAATCGGAATACAAAACACAGTACGAGCTACAAGCACGCCGTGCTCGTGACAAGGACAAGGAACTCCGTACTCTGCAGATAGCGGAGAAACATCTGAAGATTGGAGAAGATCAGATGAACCTGGAGAAGCAAAGACACGAGAACTACAAGGACGAACTAGACTCCTTCAACAGGTATTTTTCAAAAAAACGTAATCTTGTTGTTGTTGTTGCCTGGACGGTGCCGGTAGTTCTAATGACCAATTTACAAAAAAACTTTCGACTCTTGAACATGGTAAACGAGCTTTGATCCGAGAGGACCACTGTATTAATTACATAGTATGTATTTTCTATCGCTGCAAGCTGCAAAGTTATAATTTACATGTTACAACAAATGTTCTCCGTATTAAAAATGTGCTACCAATCCATTTTGACAGGGAAAGCGACAAACTACAAGACAAACGAAAAGAACTAAACCACGAGGTTGACAACCTGAAGAGAACCCTGGTTAAACAGCTTAACCTCACTACCGCCGAGAGGAAGAGAATTGAGTCGAGTCTGAGTGATGAGCGGCAGCTGGTCCTGGACTTAGTGGAGTTCAGAGCAGCACTCCAGGAGATCACTAGGATTACCAGTTTGAAGACTATTGAGAGAGATAACAAGGCTAGGGAGTATCTCAAGGCAGAGGTTTGTGCCCGATGATGGTGGCTTGCTATGCACAGCATTGTTTGCTTCTTTATCGCTTATTCAGTGTTACTCTAGAGTCTAGATCGCTCTTTTCAATTACCTAGCTCTATACAACTGTGAGCACGGAATAAATCCACAAAGCACATAATATTCTACCTGAAGATAACAAATACTCGTTTTTTTTGTTGCTAATTGTGGCTGGTGATTACAGATGAGATTCCATAAAGCCCGAGAAGATATGAAGGCTAAACAGCACGCCATTGAGGACGCAGCTAAGAAAACTGCTGAAATGCAAACAAGGTTTTAGACAGCAACATTCCATTGTATTCCGCTTTTATACATTTATTTATTAATACATTTAATTTGAAACTATTTATTGATTTGCATTTCCTTTCAGCTACCTATAAAGCTTTAAACGTTAAAATTTGTTACTTTATTTATTAGTATTGAATTGTCATTCAACAGTAGCCAGTGGTAAATCCAACTTGACATCATACTAAGATACTACATATTTTCTGTATTTAAGATGTTTATTAACATTAATAATATAACATTAAGGATATGAGATGAATAATAAGATGCAATAAGGCACTAAATAACACCAGCCTCATATTAATATCCTCGTACCAATCTATTATAAACCGGTATGAGTGTAGTTATTTGCATGACTATTTCATGAGGTCCCTGTACACGATATCATTGAAATGAGTTTAAATGAGGTTATAGTGCATTCACGTAACCCATCTGTCAGGTTACGAGAGTTTGCTAAAATGTACAATGTAATTAAGAACGAGCGTAACAAGTGTGTGAACCTGATCCAGACGTCAACACAACGTGCGGGGGAGATGCGGGAGAAGATCAAGATTCTGCACAATGAGATCGAGATATTACAGCAGTCAGCCAACAACAAAGAAAGGTAGAGACCGGGCATGTTTTTGTGAAATGGTCATAGTTTGTTGTGACTGTTAATATGCCATTTGAAATTTCCGAAGAATTCTCGGATAAAGTAATATTTTATTTTCTAAAGCTTGTCCTGCACTGACGGGTATAACAGAAGTTGCATGGGCCATATTCTCGCAACATGTCATGCAAATTCCTTGTAAAACTGAGTTCTCCCTAATTTTCAATTCTTTCTTTTATAACCAGTTTTCGGATCCTTCACTTTATGACACTGATATCTCCTATGTCAATGATGTTGATTTTGATATTGACTTCGATCATCGGGATGTTCGTAAGCTTCTTTCAAATATTAATTCAAATAAAGCCCAGGGACCAGATGGCATACACGGTAAAATTCTCAAAAATTGTTCCGTAGGTTTAGCTTACCCTCTAACATGCATTTTTCGTGGATCTTACAACAGCGGCTACATTCCACAAGAATGGAAACTTGCAAATGTTGTCCCAATATTTAAGAAAGGTAAGAAAAGTGAGGTTGAAAACTATAGACCAATATCCCTTACTTGTTTAGTCATGAAAGTTTTTGAGCGCATTGTTAAACGTAAACTGCTTTCTTTGACAAGTACCCTTCTTGATCCCAGGCAGCATGGTTTTCTAGAGCACAAGTCATGCACAACCAATATGGTTGACTTTTGTGATAGCCTGGCATTGTCTCTTAACGAAAACATTATCAATCATGTTGTGTATTTTGATTTTGCTAAGGCATTTGATTCTGTAAATCATGATATCCTTCTTCATAAGCTAAAGACCTTATATAACATTGATGGTACACTTCTCAAATTTCTTACCAATTACCTTCAAGGCCGTTACCAAAGAGTGGTTATTGGTAATGAGATGTCATCTACCCTCTCAGTTAATTCTGGTGTCCCCCAGGGCTCTATTCTTGGTCCCTTACTTTTTGTATTGTTTATCAATGATATTCCTCTTGGCCTTTCGGATAATACTGATATTGTTTTGTATGCCGATGATACAAAAATCTGGCGTAAAATACATTCATCTTCTGATAATACTAATTTACAAATGGATATAGACTATCTCTCTGACTGGGCACTAAGAAACAAAATGCGATTCCATCCAGCAAAATGTAAAGTGCTTATTGTTTCAGGAAAACCATCTTTATCTCCTCCATTCGCATACAATCTTGATGGCTCTCCTCTTGTGTATGTAGAGTTAGAAAAAGATCTTGGAGTCGATGTTACTCCTAAGCTAAGTTGGAATAGTCAGTGCGACAGAATTTATACTAAGGCCTGCCAACAACTTGGTATGGTCAGAAGAGATGGCCATATTGTCATTGATCAGAAACGTCGCCGGGCGCTTTACCTCTCCCTGGTTCGTAGCCAATTCGAAAATTGTTCCATAATCTGGCGCCCTTGTAATAAATCACTTAGTGATAAATTAGAAAGTCTCCAAAAGAGAGCTATTAAATGGATTCTGTCTGAAGAGGGCCGCAGTTATCCACCTGAGCAATATGTCAAAAAGTGCAAGCTTGTCGACATTCTCCCTTTGTCTCAAAAGTTTGACTTGAATGATCTTATTTTTTTCCACAAAGTTCTTAACAATTTAATTCCTGTATCACTGCCTCACTATCTCTCTTTATATCAGGGCACTTCTCGACTAAGACGTTGCCACCTCGACAGTCTGTCTATTGTGTCATCAATTTTACCTAAGTTAAGTCAGAATTCACACACCACATGTACCTCAAATAGCCCACTGGCAAAATCATTTTTCTACAGAACCCATATACTGTGGAATGGACTCCCTTTACAGGTAAGACAGATTGTGTCTACTAGTCTTTTCAAAGCTGAGGTCACTAAGCATCTATGGAAATGTTTATTGGATAGTGAAACAACAGTCTAGCCTAGTCTCTTTGCTCCCCATATTATTATTATTTTTGTTTTATTAATTTTTTATCTACCTTCCTATACTTTCAACATCATATCACACTTCACCCGCACACCTTCTCACACATTAATGACCATTTCAGACCTGTATCTAATGTATCTGGAATTTGACGTATTGAAATACAAATTTTGACTCTATATCCACAGTTATTCACCATGGATTTGTTTGTTATTAAATAGTTTTTCATAAATTTTTGGATTTAGATTAATTCGATGTAATGGGTCCAAGTTACTGCGGACATAGTTCACTATGTGTTTACCGTGTTTGGGTGCCCATCATATTTTACAGATGGGGGCGATATTTTGAACGATTCTATTTTATATTCATCTATTGCTGTACTCTGTAAAATTTGAAAAGTATTTAATAAAAAAAAAAAAAAATTTGATACACGGGAGGGGGTACCCCCATGAGAGGGGGGACCGTACCCCCATGAGATATGAGAGTGCAAGGGTTGCTACATTTGTGACCCCCAGGAAAGTAAAGCAAGAGAAACGAAAGTACGCCAGTATAGTAGTGTTGAGAGACAATTTACAACTAGAGCTCGGTAAACAGAGGTATCTGAAAGAGAGGATGAGGGAGCAGGAGGAACGCAAGGTACGTCTGGAATTCATGTTAAACATTGGCTTTAAAAACTGGTCTTTAAACTGGTCAATTGTGATATGTAGACTGTAACGTTTGGGACCACTTTTAAACACTTTAAATATGATAGTATTTAACGAATGTTTCTCCCTTCAGAGATTGAACATTGATAGACTGAACCAGATTATCAACATGGCTGAGGATGAAATGGTCAAGGTGAGTTTAGCTCTACAATAAAACAGTAACAAATGTGTGTTCACTGTTCAACCTTGTGTTCTAATTTTGCTGAAAATCTGGTGTAGATTTAATTAATGGTTGTACCAATTGAAACTCGTTATTTATCTATTAATAAAAGATGAATGAATTTTAGTATTCAATACACGCTTCGACAATAAAAGTAAATCCAAGCCATAAACTAAAACACTTTCGTTAAACCTGTGGTCTTGATGTTTCAATGTTGCAAACAAACACTTTACAGCTGACAAGATTATTATTCGATTAAATTACTTGATAATAAAATTATACATATTTTATGTTTTAATAAATACGAAAGACAAGGTTATAAAACTAATGCTAAGCTCTTATTAATTTATTGTATGGATTTATATCTTGAAAATAATATTCATGTTTTTCCTGCTGTATTTGGTAATGGATAACTATGCCAAAACTGATATTTCAACGGTAATTGATCTTCAAAAATATTAATAACGTATTTTATAACGTATTATTATTAAAATTTAAGACAACAAATGATTTGAGACATCTCCACGTTTCTAGTTAAGATATCTGTGTCAAGGAAAATGTTGTACTCCCAGCCGCTTTCCTAGTTTTTACAAGAATAATAACTGGTCGATTCTAACGCGTGCCGTCTGGCTACGTTCTTTTAAAAGTATTTGACTGCTAGTATTGGCACTTCTGGGGAGAACAGCGTCTACTTACACACCCTTATAGAATCCCACCAACGATAGAGATCATGCTAGCTTAGTGAGGTAGAGATTGTAAACGGCGCCAAATAACATGCATTAGTAGAGAAGATTACCTGTTTGAAAGTAGCTCCGACAGATTCCACTGGGACATTTTATAAAATGTTGTCCCTCACAGCACAAACTGTCTCTATCGATAGCACTGCCATCGCACTTGTCTCCTTGGGGTTCGTTAATGTTCTCTCTGTTCGACTGACAACACCACTCTCCATTATGGTAGACGTGAGGATGAGAAACTGGGCATTGAGCTTCATCTGAAATGGAGAATAGCAAATCATCTTTGAAAAGATTCGGACATCCAACTGCCTGCAACCTAATCTAGTTAATAATAATATTTGAATAATTGTTAACCCTTCCAGTGTTAAGTTTGTTCACCTACGCGGTAAAATCCTTGTTTATGTACTTACCAGTCTCATCATTCTTACAAAATTCCTTCGTTTCCCCATTATCCAGACCAATTTTGAGTGCATTTCCTTCAGGTACAATTATATGTGTGTCTGTACTGTCTATCGCTATCTGCACCTTTACCTTGTGGTTTTGAAATTATTTTTGTCGTAGAGTCACCTTCAAGATTGCTACTAGGAATAAACAATATTACTACCGTGTTTATCATAGCACAAACCGTTTCGTTATCTAGTTAGCTGAGCTCTGAGGTCAGAGTTATATTGTGTGTGGTAGTTTTGGAACTTTGGAAGTTTGTTAAAGAAGAATAATTTATTTGGAATTGTATTTTTTAAGAAAGTCGCCACCTTTATTTGTAATGCCTTGATGGTAAGACCTGAAGGTTTAAGAATTGAGCTAGGGATGGAACAGTGCGCTCTCTTTAGAGCCTTCTATTTAGAGCCTTTTTATTTTAGAACGTTTAATTACACATTACATATTTAGTGTTAACCTGTGTGAGATCAAGTCCATCTGAACCCCCGGTTCTTAAAGCGACACACGTGTAATCTCCTATGTCAATTTCACTCTCAAAAGAACACACCACATCCTTATTGATTACATCGAAAGCTGCATCACACTTGTTTTCTTCGGTTTGTCCATTTGTTCCTTTGATTTTAACGTACTGGGCGTTCAGAGTTTTAGCATTACCCTTACTAGCTATCGTGTAGGTTATCGTATACTTGACACTCACAGCTGAAATAATTTATTCAAGTATACACTATACAGGATGTTTCTGGTGAGGTCGTTGGTCCCTGCGTAATCCGTATGCTTTTATCATTGAGGATTTATCCAGTATGATTGTAGTAAAGAAATCATATAAAATAGGTATCTTAGTCAAAAAAAGAAACAACTTACTTGGAATGACTGCTTGAACCAATCGAAAACTTAGCACCACAGATATCAGAACCAATGTTCTATGAATAGTCATACTAATATATAAAAATCACGAAAGAAAAATTACCAATAATTCATGAACGAAAGTAAAACCAAGTTCATATTGTGAAGGTAGAGAAACGTAACCACTGTACAGTGTACCACTAAACAGAACAAAAAGGCCGCCTCTAATGTTAACCACTTGTTAACAACTTCTATTCGATGTAATATAAAAGGTGGGTCAATAGAACAACACAAGTAGCTGTTTGCCTCTATGAGAACTTGAGAAGTTAGTAAAATATTGCCTGATAGAATAGAAGTCATTATGACAGAATAGCTTTGTGAAGGGAGTTCAAAATTCGACAGGAATAAAAAAAAGGGTGGTTCCACAACAGTTCCACTATTCAAGCGTTCAGTATGATCGAATGTTTCGGTCGCCGTTAAGAGACAACAATACTTCATCAGGGGGAATTGTCTTTAAGAGACAATAAAACGTTACTTGTCCCTTACTGGCCAGTGAGAAACATAACAATTACATCAGCATAATGTTCGTTACTCTGGTAAAGACCACTAAAACAGGGAGCCTAAAACCCAGTGCCATTTGACCACGACTGTATATTGTATAAATATACTACAACAGAATTTCTTGGACACCTCTGACCCATGTCATATATAATGGAATGGTGTAATAATTATTGGTGCGGTTTTTTGCGTAAAATTAATACTTTCTCAAGCTTTATAACACCAACATAACTTGGTTGCTGAGGGTAATGTTTTAATTATTCTAGATTATTAGAAAGTACGATCTCTTCGGCTACTTCGTCCCGCTAGAACGTAACGGTTCTGCGCAGTAAAATGTTTGTATTACCAGTTTAAAGAAATCAGAGGTTGTTTAGAAAAGCTATCGATCTATAATATGCCAAGTTATATTATCACCCGATCAGCTGCACGTTTTCAGCTTCTTTAAGTCTGCACTGAGCTAGAGTATTGATTCTAGGTGCTCTCTCCAATATAAAAAGATAGAAATAGGACAGTTTTAGTGTTTTAGTGGTAAACATTTCATTCATTTTGGATATCTGTGTCAAGGACTTAAACTCATTCAAGAAAGTTTCTTAATTTGTACGTATAGCATTTTTGTTTAAGCGCAGTTTTACTTGCGCTTAAAGTTTTACTTCGCATGGCAGGCATCAAATAAAATGCCGTCCATCGCTCGCACATTGATATCTGGGCTCTCTAACTTGTTGGTAAGATGCGCGCTCGTGGTAATCGCACAGTTGATATCGCACAATGTAGGATTACCTTTAAAGTAATTTTGACAGATTTCACTGGGACAATCCTCGACTTTGTTTCCTTCACAGCACCCACTTTCTCTCTTGAGCTCACTGCCGTCACATCTTTCTCCGTTGCCATGCTCATCCTTCTCTTTGTTGGTCTTGCAACAGTGCTTTCCATAGTTGTAAACGTAAGGGTGCGAGGCGGGGCATCGACCCTTAGCAGCTGAAACAAGGAGAATGTCATTAAACTCCAGATACGGAATAATTGATAAAAAGGGTAATTATAGATGAAATAAACTACAGAGGTAGATTGTAGTTACAACTATATATAACCAATATTAACACCTGAATATATGGATTAGTATTTAGTAGTTGGTTACCTGGATTAGGGTTATTCCGGCAGTTACTACCACTGGGACACGCGACCAGTAGGTTTCCTTCACAGCAACTACTGTGGAACTGTATCACACTTCCGTCACACTTTTCTCCGTCATAATTATCACTCTTCTCCATGTTTGACCCACAACAGTAATTTCCATTACTGTAAGCGTGGGGGTAGAGAGCTGGACACATATTAACTGAACTTGAAGCTGAAACACGATTAGTGATTAATTAGTGATTAATTATTGATTAATTAGTGATTAATTAGTAAATTAGAAGCTCACTACCGGACCATTTCTGAGGCTGGATTTAACTGAATTAAACAGCCCGTTATCCTCGTACCCTAAACCCTTGCTTTAAGTGAACCCGGTCATTAATCACTCATAACATTAATTGTCACACTAATTTAGGAGTCGAACTTATTTTGTGCACGAAGCAATAAAAGTATAAGGACTGAGAATGCAAATCTGTTATTTGATTGATAAAACAGTTCAAATGACTTACACGCTTGACGCAGCAGAACAAATAACACCACAGAGGTCACAACCAATGCTTTACGTCGGATTAACACCATACTACGCTGAAATTGAAATTAGCAGTATAAGCTAGAAAACAAGAAACTTCCACTTAAAAGGAAAATCAAAAAGTCCCTAGATTTAGTGTTACCGTCAAGTCCGGCGAGTCTGTTTCAAAATATGATTTACTTGAAAAGTTTTGTTAAGCCCTCGAGATTTAGTTTTCCTGTTTACAAGTATATCACAAAAATCTTGATCAAATGAAAAATAAAAACGTAGCTGAGACTCAAACAGTAAATAATTGAGACTTGAAGAGTGGCCAACTATTCGACAACTATTTATTTATGATCAATCCTAGCGCCGGCAGGGCCCCGGGTCGCCTATTCAATATTCATTACGGCAACAGATGATTTACTTATCAGCTATAATCCTTGTTCGTATTTTAAAATTTAATTACAGGGCGTTGAGGCTCCTTAACAAAGATTAAATCATTAAAATTGACATGGGTGATCAATGCTCATCTTTATTAAAATAACTGCCTTTATCTAGTTGAAAGATCTTTTAATTAATCATGATGAATATTATGATTATACAGATTGTGGATACTTTAATTACAAGTTAGGTGCCAGCCAGGTTAATCTCATGTTCTAATATTTCCTGTTGTCAATGAATAAATGCAATAAAAGTCTAATCCCCCGTAGTTACGGAAGAGATACGAAGCGGCAGTTCAAGAAAGAAACGACAGGGGAATTCATCTGATCGAACGGAACGAAGAAGTGTGCATTTTTTACGAAAAAGTCAACATTCATGGTAAGAAATCAACTGATCGTTCTTCACAATGCACAGAAACTTGCAAACATAACTTTACAAAAAAGCTCAGTTTTGCCGAAAAGTGATTTTTCATCTAGGTCAGCTCCTTAGCGGGATGAGATGTTCAGATCCGAGGAACTGAATTTAGGCAGCGCTCCATCCCTCATATAATGATGGCCGAATCTTATTTGTTATTGAGAGCTCCCTTTAAACACATTTATCTGACTCTGATAATGAGCAGCATCAGCTGTACATGTTTATAATTCGGGCAGAGTTGCCACAGGACGTGCCTATAATTGCCTCATGAATATGTTTAATTATATGGGCATGTGATTCGAATTTGGGTCATGGTTGGCATGTGAATAATGAATACTAAGGTAATAAAATTAGGCATTTTATTTTATTCGATATAATCAGAGAGGAATATTGATGAGCCCATAAACTCATTTCTAAAAGTCTGTTATCAATAATCTATTATTATGGAAAATAAACCACAGTGGCGTCTGGTGGTCTGGTATTTAATAATGTAATTCAATTTAGTCATTAGTCAAGAATATTAACGAGCCTAAAAGCCCAATAATTCTGATAATGATTTATAATCACCGGACTTCTCACCATTATAACTCTCACAACAGATCAGCTGTTAAGGGAAGGTGCAGTAAGCATGCAGAACCAGGATGAGAATATAAGGGTACTGGAGCTGGAGACCAGAGAGATCCAGAGGCAGATAGATCTGTTGAGAAAACAGGTTCCAGACAAGGCTAACATTGAGAGCTCTCTTGTTGACTCCCAGATCGAGGTATGTTGTGTGAAATTTATCCTGGGATTGGGTCAATCGTTTAGTATCTTTGTGGTCGAACATATTTAAAACACCCCCCTCCTAATAGCTAAAAAACCCCTCCTCCCAGCTTGCCACGACACAAGAACACTTGTACGATCTGGAGAAGAAGCTAGAAACCCCCGAGAACAAGGGCCGAGTGAGGCTGCTCAAAGGACAAGATCCTGATCCAGATAAACTGGAGGAGGATTGTGAGAAGCTGGAGGAGAGACTAGCCGAACAGGAACAGAAACTTCTGGAAAAGGAACTCATTTTAGAGGAAGAGACTCGACTCACTGATAGAGTCACAAAGAAGGTTAGTTTAGAAAACAGTATTTTGTATTTGTTTTCTTTTGTAAGTTCGTAACACTTCCGACTTCCCCTTCTCATTCACTAGATACACACTCTACTACTATCTAAGACACGACCTACCTTACTAGTTAATGTTTTAACGTGTAAGTTAAAGATGATGCTCAATGTTAATTTCAGGTTGATTTGGGTCAGCAGGATACGTTACAACTAGCAAAGCAAGTTAATGAGTATCAACGTAAACTTCAAGACACTACCCGCAAAATGATGGCCGTTGTTTCAGAACTCAGCATGAATCAAGTAATTATTAACCTTTTGTAACATTCATAGCAGTACTGGAGGTCGACATGAACCAATTAAATCAAAAAGATAAAATTTGTGATCTGAAAATTCATAGCTATTTCAGAGCTCAACGTGAACCAAATACTAATCAATATTTTGAACTCAATATTTATATCAAATACTGAATATTCATATCAATGTCTGGCAATGTATTTTATAACTGTTCAGATATCACTCGCTGTTATTGTGGCTTGTTAAAGTCACTATTTAACAACTTTCCAATCAATCAGGCCGAAACCATGAAGTTGCAGCAACATGCTACTGATAGGAGATCCGAGGTTGAGGACGCTTATCGTAAGTTGGATATGGGTCTACCACCAACTGAGGACGCCGAGATGGAGTGGCAACGAATGTTGAGGGATGATGAGATGAAATCTGCCAGGATACTTCAGAAGCAGCAGGTACTGATACTGGCAATCTTGCGCAGAATTGTTTTTTTTTGGAATTTTACGTAGCCCGCGCAGTCAATATGGTGATGAAACATCGAGTTTTTTCGCGCAGTTTCCCTAGCAACGATCTATTGATACAGCGTGTATTCTATCGATTCGTATTTTGAGGCTTTTTATTGCAACAATGGGACATTTTGGCGAGGGCTGAGTCCCAGCCATACATTTACACTCATCGATTATACTGAAAGATTAATTCTTAAATTGGACGGCAGTTAAGTCGATGTGTTCATCATGCCTGTCCAAGCATATCATTCAACTGTTAAATTCCCGGACGGACAAGGCTTAAGGCCACCAACCCAAACTAATATGTATTTGGAAGTGCCTTGATGAGCTATGTACACTTTCGATCTAATGTCGGTAATATGTGTCCTACTCATCTAAATCATCTTGAGCACTGAGCAGTGCAGTGTAGAGAGGCCTTCCATATTAATGCCAAAAAGAGAGGTGACGGACTGGTGTACCACTGAGATTTTATCGGCCTTGAAATGATATTAAACCTACTCCCATATAAACATATATAAAATTTACCCGTATTCCAGGCTGAAGAGGAAGCAGAACAATACACTGTACCGGGTGGAATCACCACTACAGCAGAACCGCGACCCAACGCTTACATTCCTGACGATCTCACGGAGCTGCCCGTTCCTCGACCATACGGTGCTTTGGCTCCCTTTAAACCCACAGAACCTGGAGCTTGCATGCGGCACATCAGAAAACCGATCGTTAAACCGATCGAAATCTAGAACTGATACAGAGTATTTGTTTTATTTGTTTGTAGAATCAGATATTCCAGGATTTTATACATCGCTCCAGTTGGTGCGTGTCTACTTTTACCCGGATGTGTTTTCATTGGTCGAATGACTGTTCAAAAAAATGGTCGAATGTTAAGTCGAAACCTGATAACTGGATCTCTAGAAACAATAACTTCTGTTAAATTTACATCATTTGATTTGGCAAATGGTTGTCATAAACATCTCAAACATGAAAACGCTTCAAATCCAGACTCGACCAAACTTTCAATCATTCATTCGACCTGTTATTCGACCAATGAAAACACATCCGGGTTAGACGCATTGGAGCTGCTTTTGATGAAGAGTGAGATTTTTGTACATTTAGTTTTTTCTGAACTTATCAGATAAACCGATGTAACATAAGATGAGGAGATGAAACAATTTTTGTTCTACGATATTCAAGAATCAGACTGAAGTTATAGTGAAGATTAACCAGAAAATGTACATTGTATGTAGATATTTTTAATTGGAAACTTTTTAGTTGACTAGTCTACATTCTGACTTGTAATTGATCCATTGCAACTGATTTGATTTTGAAACTTTCATCAAATAGTACAGAATTACACAGCAATGAACTTACCTGGGGACCCCAGGCTATTATGTTCATAAACATAGAATAGAGATTCGGCGGAATGACATGCAGAACGCTTCCCAGTAATTAAAAAATGGTGACAACGAATTTTAAGGCTCAGGAAATGATCAGACTGGTTAGAGCAAGCACAAGTAATAATAAATTGACTGTATACTAAATGATTGGACTCTTACTCTGGCCCCCGTATAGTCATAATATAGTAATTAGAAATGTACTATTATATATGTATAAATAGGGTGGGCCAAAAATCAGTGTGCGAACGTTTGGTCTTATACCTCCGCCGTGTTTTATATTTGAGAGCTGTTGCTTTGCAGATGGCATACTGTACCTTCTTGTTCGAGGATTCCGTCGCCAAAATTTGAAAATTCGAATATTTTAGACCACGCCCATTCAATATTAAAACACCTATATTGTTCTCTCTGAACATGCTGGACGCCTAATTTTTTCAGAGACGGTAGATCATTAAATGTTGCATCTGATCTGAAAAAAATGAGGCAAAACGGATTAGAAATGACGAAGTTGCCAAGGATTTTGTGTATCTCGTTAACAAAATTGACTGGGTGATTATGTTACACCGTGACACGACACCTTAATTGGGCAGCCTTAACGATTCCCGTTAAATGTTTAACGGGGTCCGGGGTCTACAATTTTAAATTGATGCGATGCTTGGCTAAATAAGGAAATTTATTATCAGGTCAATATTCTCATCCACTTTATTACACTATGTATACATTGGAATTGTAAAGAATTTGTAATTCTCGGAAAATTTGTAAACTCTGTATTTACCGACTAAGTAATCTAACATGGTCATTAGGTCATGGAGCACATGTAGTGACGTTGCTTGACTGTTTCTCAGTATCAATCCTTATATGGACATGGCATTTAACTTGTACTAAAAACTTGGATCTCCTGAAACCACGTCAACTTGGAGTTCAGTTGAAATGGTTAATGATTGCTTCGTTTTATTTCAAAGACTTTCGTTGATTTGTGCTCACAATTATTTGAAGTCACTTTTACCACAACTTTTTATCTTAAATCTCCAGTTCTCGTGGTGAATTATTGTCATTAACATCTTTAACACGAAACACGCTTAAGCAGCATAATTTATGAACACTTTGAGCCATTTCAGTTTTCCGAACTTTCTACCAAACTTTCGACCATAGTTTCAACCCCACTGTATTAAACTTTTGAGCACACGCAACGTCGCCATATATCCAGTCAATCCCACAGTTCCTGGACCAACTTTTCCTCCACTTTAAACACTATCATTACAATTTAAAATCCATATTAAAAAATTTGTCTCTGGACCCATTGATAAGCTATTAATTGTTAATTATCCGGCTTTTACTCTGCAATGATCAAATATCTGATCACCTCCCCAAAGTTTGTCCTTCACTAAATCTCTAGCAGTAAGGGGTCGTTCACATATAATTACTTAATCAGCCAAAGGGGGGGGGGGGTTTCCAAATGATTACGCTGGTGTAATTTTGACTCAATATGCAATGGTTATGGGTAAAACTGATTACGGAGGGGGAGGGGGATTAAAAATTGTCCAAAAAGTGATAACGTAATATGCGAACGACTCCTGGTACGAACAAAGTACAGATTAGTCCTTTGTCAATCAGTCCTCATATTGTGCAACCAAACAATCGAGATCTCCCTGATCGTAGACTGAACAAATCTGTTGAACTATTGTATGCTTGTGTGTGCGTGTGTGTGTGCACATACTGTGTTTTGTTCTCCAATTAGCTCTAGAATGAATACTGAATAGGCTGGTAAAATACAGCCGTATTTCTCTGGTACGTGATTTTCTTTCCAACGCACATGAAGTTGTACATTCTGAATCTAATAATAATTATATTTTACTATCATTTGTAAGATGCTCTAAGCTCTTATAACCGAGACCATCAAATAACGGTTCTAGACTTTAGTCCCGTTTGTACTGAATATTCTCGTTTTGTACTAGTTGACGTTGTTGTTTGAACCATTTCTTTATCGGGGATTCGATGAACTCAATCAGTATCACAGGTATGCTGTTGGATGTTGATAAATATTTAGTTTGAAATCAATAAACTTAATCCAGTCTTAAACTTAAACTTCAATACTAACTTCCAATTATCACCAACCAACATGTAGCGTTTGAAAATAATACCACTACAAGTATAAAAGTTTAAAATGCAAAACAGAGGTGATCGATCATATAATCAATAATTTGATCTTGTTTCAGTTACCCTTGTGGCTGTCAGCTTAGTGGTCTCCTCAAATGGTTTTGCTGTAGGTTCGTAACACATAAATTGCAGCTACTCTGCTGTTGCAATCACCCGAAATCTCCACTATTAACGGATATATTTTGTCGTACATTTTATTTGAAAATCAGTCCACAATTGCAAGTTGTAGAAATTATAACCCAAATTTATAAAGCTCCCTTGGAACACCGCAGGAGAGTTGGTGACATGTAACCTATGTCACCCGTTTGCTGGCGACACGGCACCGGAGGAATGTGACACGGACCCTGAGTACGGAGTGGAGTGTCCGCTGTGTTATCAGCTCTCTGGATCTGATAACTTCTTCAGAGAGATCTGCGTTCCTGTCAGCAACTACATGACCATCAGTGAGTTTAGTGACCATTAGTGAGTTTACAGAGTCGTTTTCATCCCCTCTCGGGCCTTCAACCTCCGTCTAGTAAGCTGCGACAAACTCCCCACCTCCCTCTCCCCCCAGACAAACCCCCCGGTCCTCATTAAAGCAAATTTAAACCTCCGTGTTTCACCGCCATTTATGGTCCGGTTTTCGTCATTTTCCAGTTCCGGAGTAGAAACAATGTTCGCCCTCACTTCTCAGTACTTTATAGCTTTGGTTATGAGTATTTGTAAGCTTTAAACGTGATTTTATGCAACATGTTTTTCAATAACCACCTCTCCCAGTGAACACGGTCATTCAGCCGGAGTTAGAATTGTGTTGGATGAAGAACCAAGGTAACTGTGTCCTACGACTGGTCGGACCTGTTTCTTCCTCGTCACCAACAATCTCTCCGGAGCCGGCAACCACAGATCCAGACTGCGCGAACTCTACTGATGAAGATGATGCTAGTTTTGTTGAGGATGAGATCGATGAGATCGATGAGAAAGGGGTGGATGAAGGTTATGATGTTGAGGACAGTGTTGTTCAAGGTAATGGCATTGAAGACAATGATATTCAGGGTGATGATGTTGAAGACGATTCTATCGCTGACGGTGCTGTTGAAAACGATTCTGTCGCTGACGATACTGTTGAAGACGATTCTATCGCTGAAGATGATACTGTTGAAGATGATACTGTTGAAGATGATACTGTTGAAGATGATACTGTTGAAGATGATACTGTTGAAGATGATACTGTTGAAGATGTAAATGTTGACGATGATGAAGAAGATGTCTCCGAAACTTTGGATATAGATGATGAAGATGAGGACAGTACTGTCTTATTTGAAGAAATATTTCTGCTGTTTGTTAATGAGGAAACATCTATGGCAAGCACACTTGAGTGAATTACGCTTTATCTGTACTTCTAACACCACGATTAACTGCAATAAATATGCACAAACTGAGGTTTATTTCAAACCCCACGTAAATTACGCAATTTATATCACAGTCCTATGATGATAAAAAAGAAAGTACATTTTGGGATTTATTTAATAATTGATAACAGTGAACCCTTGTAATTTGTATTCGTATAATGAATGTTGTGAGCTTTGTAAGAGCCTAGTAGATATTTGAAAGTTTATCCATAAAGCAATGAACGTGACCGATATTGTTTTATAGGGCTAATATCAGTCCATTAGAGCGTAATCTCTTATCGTTATTGCTGACTATCTGTTAACATTAAAGGCAGTGCTATGATAAAAGAAGATATATCTTATTATATCTCAAAGTTCTTGTTGAAATACAAAAACTATAAAATACCGACTATCACTAACTGATGAAAATGGAACCATTGTCAATATCCAACCAGATATTACATTAATCTTGTATGCATGTTCCAATATTTTGGATTGTCAGTGTCTGCTAATGCTTTTTTGGCCTGCGAGACTTTGGTGAGTTCCGCCAGATAATGGAGCCTGATCTACTCAGACAGCATTATGAATACTATATACTATGTATTAGTGTTATTATCATATCAATGATCGACAGTTATTATCGCGATAAACCGATGGAATTGTTTGATAGTTGATCTGCAACTTAGCTCATGTATAAAAATAGTATTGTCAGCATTTTTATTCATTTCAAAAGAACTCATCCGAACTCTGACACGTTTTCAAGCAGCATATGACTCAGATATAATTAATAAAGAATGCTCGATTTGCATATTATGCGAACCAGCAGATACTCTTAGCTTTGCTATTAACAGAATATCTCACATATTATGATGATACCAATAAATGGCTCATCTCAACGCTGCCCCCCGCTGAGATATGATCTGATTCCTATCTGTCACGTGAAGCAACTGCAGCTACTTTTTTATTACTTTTCTCAGCGCATATCTGCGAGCTAGCGTTGTTATTTGCAGTTCGTTATCTGGATTAGAGTTAAATGTCAGCCTTCTTGTGATAGTAAAACAGTTAAACCCCAATTTAACGGGGTTGTCGAGAGAAAGGAGCTACCCCAGTAAATCTCACTAGATGCATGTAAATATGATAATTTCCGGTGATCTGAGAAAGACTGTTGGGGTGAGGTAAACCAGGGTTTCACTACACATTCTTACCTTCTCATTCTTACCTTCTCATTCTTACCTTCTCATTCTTACCTTCTCATTCTTACCTTCTCATTCTTACCTTCTCATTCAAGTTAGAATGGTTAGATATTTGCTCATTCAGCCCCAAAACGTGTCGGTAAATGATCATTGGATAACTGATCTTTATGAATGAATATTATGTGTCTTAGACAAATATTTCCTAAGTGAATGGTTATTTGATGTCACCAATTATTAGATTATATATTTGTATGGATTGTTCTCAATTATGACATACTGTCATTAGCCTGACATGCAATTGTACCATTATGTTAATTGATAATCAATTCATTGTAATTAATAAAAGATGCATGCTCAATGCTCATGTGGTACAACTACATATTATACCATATTATACCAGTAAAACTTTTATATACCAGGCATCTCGGGGAAACGAAAAGTACACGGTATAGAAACAAAAAGGTATAATAGATAAGAGAGAGAGGGTTACATGATCCCATCCCCAGTATCAGAATAAGCCTCCTAAATAATCTCTCATAAACCCCGTTATCTACTTATATGCATAAACCGTTTCAATGTATCGTGAACACCCTGTATTGTTTCGTATTGCCATGCGATGCAGCTTGACGTGAAGTTTTGGGGGAAAGAAGAGGAACGGTATATCGAGGTGTCCGGTATAGAGAGGCACGGTGTGTAGACTTATAGAGGTTCGACTGTACAACATATTGAGAGGAATGTAGACTACGATGAAGTACGGCCGATCTAATTTAAATTTTATTGAATTAAATCTGGTCTGGCATTGCCATTACTTTATATCAGGATAATTTCGTATCTGGATGCCATCGAGTTTGTGAGTCGCCACAGTGAAAGGAATCAGTTAAATGAATATGTTCCTCTGAAAGAGGCATTACATACACTATACAGTTTATACATATAAAGACCACTTAGGCTGCGTTTTATCACTGTTTTGATTTAGTACAGCTCAACCATTTGTTTTTACAGTTGCTCTCTGTCATGAAATAGAGCGGGTTTAAAGAGCATAACACGGGATAGCTGGACTATCCAGCCTCGTCATTAGCATTTTTACAGAGCCAGCCCTGTAAAATACAGGGAATGGAGACATGCTGCTTGTCTTTAATCATCCTCACATAAACGGGAATAGTTAAAATTCTCTAACTTTATTTGGGTTAGAGTGTGAGTCTTCTCAACCTGATACGTGAAGTCTGTTCTCTTTTCCTTCCGAGCGCTGTCTCCAGCTCGCTCAGCTCGCAGATGCGTCCTAGCCTCGTCTGTGAGTCGTGCAAATAATTGTTTTTTAAATTTACATCAATCTATTGTTCTAAATGCTTCTTATTGGTAGGTTTTATTTAATTTTCAGCTGACTACATTGTCTAATTAATCTCGGGGTTAGCAGTGATTGTCGTTTGTGTCGCCGAAAATCTTTATTCTGAAATGAATCTCATTGAAAACTCGTTATTATTCCAATACGATAATGAGCCCTACATTCGAAGTAATGCGTTCCCATTTTCCTGGTCGCATGCCCGAGCGTCTGTAATTGAGATATCCTATAACAAAATCTACCACGATATTCCTCATCGTTTTCTGATAAGAACCCGTCAAAACTTGTCTTAAACGAGTTGAACCCCCTATTTCAAAGAGAGAGTTGCCGTCTCCATCGTGGCGCCAATTATTTGCTTCGCAGCCTATCATACCTGCTCCCAATTGAATTTATCGAAATCGGTGGCCACATATTATAATTCGCTGCATTGTTGAGCTCATTATTTGGTTTGATGTTGACAAATTGGGGATCACGTCCCCAAGTATTTGGTAAACTTTTTGTTTAAAATGAGTTTCCGCAACACTAACAACATCAGCCGTGTGTGTGACGGGGTGGTCGATAGTACTTCTATTTGTTTTCATAGTCAGAGTAGAGCAGGATGATAACTATTTTAACTATTTAGGGGCTTCCTCATTCGCATGTTTATAATGTAAACTGGGAACTGTTTGCCGCCTCTCTCCTGTACGCTGTAGTACGCCTGTCAGCCTGTAAGTATACGCTGTAGTATTAGTGGCAGTGCGCCTTTGGACTCTAGGAATTAGACAAGGTGTAGGAACTCGCTCAAGTTGCTCATTATGGACACTTAAAAGAAAGGGGAAAGCGCATGAATAAAAACGTAACACCACGACATAACATAACAGGGCTATAGTACAAATAGTCAAATAGGGCTACATTTTTTTTAAATTAGCAAAGGGCTAAAAAATCAAGAACTATAAGGTAACTCTACAAACCTACAAAATGACTGTAAAACTTACAATAGACGGATCCTCGCCAGACCAAGCAGTGAACTGTTAGCTCGTTAAGCGTGTAGGCAGCGTGCAGAGCTACTTATAAAGGCGCATAATACCTATTAGTGAACACCTTAACTCTTAAACTCCGTAATTTTATCAGTTAATTCTATTGGATAATTGAGAAAGCACCTCTATTTCATGGACAATACAGATCTGCGCTTCAATTGTGATTCATGTTTCAACTGTAACTGTAAGTTTGTCTGCACGGAACCTCCCAGCCTCGATTCCTTGCTTAACTAGCCGTGCAGCAAGGATATCCACTGCAGGTTCACCAGGTTAGGCACATCACCAGCTCTGCATCGCACATGTTCAGTACTTATAGGCGACCATAAGTCTCATCACACATAACTTTTTCTTTATTGTCAGATGTTTTATGTAAGCTGGCCTTTATGTGAGGAGCGAGGCGGAGGAACCTTATATACTTATTTAAACACAATCTAGACTACGGATTCAATCTAGATCTGGGTTCAAAGTAGGATTCGACTGTAGGTTGGTCTGTACGGAGCCTCCCAGCCTCAATTCTTTGTTTAACTAGCAGTAGCTATACAGCAAAAATATCCATTAGGTTTACCTGTTCAGGCACAAGGAATTTTGCTTCATAATTTCCTGTCGTTCAATTATCCGAGCCGAGAAGGTTTTGAATTGAATTTTTGAAATTAAGGGTACTGAGCAGCAAGGTGTCGGAGGGACTGAGGACAAAGCTTTCTTCGTGATACTCAACCCAAACATCTAATTGGATCAGCATATTCTGAGAAGATTTCACATTTCCCGAGTTCGCTACGCTGTCTCAACAGTCAGTGGAACCCATATCGGGGTACCCAGTACCCACCCTCTCTCGGCAATAGGTCTGGGAGGGGCTCGCTCCTCCCAGTTCCAGTACATTCCTCCATCTTCTCCCTCTTAACATATGTCTTGATATGTGCATATTATACAATAGTCTGTACAGTGTACAGCATAACGTCCGGCTGGTGGCTTGAAAGAGCTCACACCAGCAGACACCTGATTGCTACACTAGTTTCCGGACACCTCCCGCCCAATCACAGCGTAAGGTTTCTGTAACGTGAGAGGGAGGGAACCAATCAGGAGAGCGGGTGGTATGTTTGTATTATTATTGTTATGGAGCAGCTGCCTGGTTATCGGTCTTATGTTGTCCCCCTTCTCCAGTACAAATACTTGAGGGGTAGTCTTGCTACGTGGTTTTACTACTAATACTATACGTGGTTTTGTTCTTCTAAAATAGCCATCATAAAATTGGGGTCTTTGTCGTCGTACGCTCCATTTTTCCATGATGATTCATCAGTGTTCCAAAACAAACTTTGTCAGATTCAAATTTCTCTGTTCTTTTCTTCGGGTAATGTAGCCAGTGTTTAGGTTTGAACCGGTTCAGCTTCTCTGTATGTTTATCCAGTCATTCCGTCCGTTGGGGATTCAATCGGTTACCACGTAGTGAAGTCATTTAAATATCCAATCGTACAGCTGCCATAAGCAAGCGGGGTCTACTGTTCAACTAACCGTACATTACTGGGGTCTACTGTTCAACTAACCGTACATTACTGGGGAGTACCTACTATTCAACTAACCGTACATTACTGGGGTCTACTGTTCAACTAACCGTACATTACTGGGGTCTACTGTTCAACTAACCGTACATTACTGGGGTCTACTGTTATAGCATGCATTTCTCAATGTAAGGTTTGTTCGTTCAACTTACAAAGATTTTCCGATTGATAACTGATTGCCTTGATTTAAC